GCTCCCTCAAAAAGCTAAAGATTTTTTGGCGCCTTTCAACCAGATTTTTCAATTAGAACCCTTGGAAATTTCTCACAAAATGAGAGATTTCATTGGGTCAACTGAATACACTGAATAGATCGCTGAACAACCGCCAATCTTTTTGCGAATTCTCAGAGGAAATGTGATCTGGTTGGATGTGGAATGCTGGAAAGGAGAATTAAGAAAAAGCTCATGAGGAAGCGCTACTTCGTAGTAGAGTAAGACATTCGCATTAGTGGCATACTGTTCTATTTGTTCAATACACCAGATTAACGCAAGTCCATCAGTTGTCTCATCAGTCCATCAGTTGTCCAAGTCAAACTGATCAGTTGGTCAAACAAAATTTTAGATAAGACAAGACTTATTGGCTTGATTGAAGAGTTAGACCTTATTAGTCTTCAGTTGGAAACGGGTTGATTGCTTAAAGGAAGGGTTCGGATAGAGTATCTAAAAAGAATCTAAAAAAATTCGACAGAGCATCTAAAAAACATTTAAAGGAAGAGTTGGGATCCAGGCCAATTTTCAACAAAATCCCTTTTCCCTAAAATTACTGATTATTTTTTTATTTAGTGTACAGAAAGTATAAGAATAATTTGGGGAAAAGAATGTAGCAAGAGTTACGCAATTTTACACCTACCATAAATACTGTAATAGTACCCCATCCCTATAATGACGGTGCGGAGCGTTGCGTCGTCTAGCTTTGAACGAGTTTTTCTCGACACTGGTTTATGCTACAATGCTCGTTTAGGTATCAAAAAATAGCCCTGAATTTCAGCTATTTTTTCATACCAAAGACGCATCTTTTGAGAGTACGGGCGCTTTGAAAAAAATGAAATACTAAAAAACGTTTGCGACTACGCGACTGTACGAGGGGGGTGGGGTACTATTAAAGTTATTATCGTTATTATCGTACTATTACAGTATTTACACCTAATTATTCTTTTTGTTTTGTTCTATTAAGGTTGGTAGGAATGAAACCAGCGCTCACATATCTTTTCAAAAATAAAAACTTTTCAAATCTCAACCTTTCAAAGTGTTGTATATTGTTTGAAAGCTCTGAATCTCCTCGACAAAATAGTGCAAAAAAAAAGATTTTGAATTGAATTGATTATTGAGGATTTGGGTTTTTTTTGAAAAACCCAAAACCCACACAATGATACATTTTAGTGGCACACAAGTATCTACTTAAGTGGAGATCTGGATCCTCATTTCATCCATCTCCATCCACCTCTTTCAACAAAACCACTTTCAAAGCAATTTGTGTTGAAAAGGCAAACGAATCTTTTTCTCGACTATAAACAAAAGAGTTCCCTAGAAAAACCTTTAGAAAACTTTTAGAAAACATTTAGAAAACGGATTTTGACAAAATCGAGTTAGAAAGATTGAGAAAAATAGGGAAATTGTAAAAGATGGATTGAAAAAAGGAAGATAGAAGAAGAAATTTCAGAAATCTCATTGCTAGTTTAGAAATGTAGTGACTGGCACGAGAGTCGCTTCAAAAAGTCAGAAATGACAGAAAAGCTGGTCAAGTAGGCTCTTGATCTGACTTCTAGCTGAACAATACAGTATTGCGCCAGTATTGCGCCAGTCGGCCAGCCAGTCAGCCAGCACAAGTCAGCCAGCCAGTCAGCCAACACAAGTCAGCCAGCCAGTCAGCCAACACAAGTCAGCCAGCCAGTCAGCCAGCTCAGCCAGCCAGCCAGTCAGCCAGCTCAAGCCAAGAAAGCCAAAAGCCAAAAGCTAAAGTCAGAGCTAAGAAATGGATACAATAAGCTTACTTGCTATTAGAGTTTATTCTATAAAATCTTTCGACTAGCTCTCCAAGTGCCCGCAATTTTTTCGATGATTGACATAACGAGATGCGCTTCATATTCATAGAGTATTCATAGAGTTCTCCTTGTGTTGGTCTGACAAGAAAAACCCATATCTACCCCCAAAAATAGACCAAAGCAATTTTTATTTCTAGATATTTCTTTTTTCCTAAAATTCTATTGCTTGTTGGTCAAGTTAATGCCGAATAGAAATGAATGAATGCTGACTATTCTGACGGAATGATCTAGAGAAGCTACCGCAATCCAATGATCTAGAGAAGCTACCGCAATCAATTTCCTATTTTTGCCCTCGTTTAACTCGATAAGCAAAGTAATGCAAAGTAATAAAAAGGCTATTTGAGAAAACTATCGTCTAACTGCCAGTTTTCACTTGATCAACTCATTTTTTTGATATCATTCGATGAGGAATCACAAGGCTCAGTTAATGATACAAAAATTGAGCTAATCAAATAGAAACTGGCTTGATTACGGTAGTTTTCTTTCTTTTCTTGATTACGATAGTTTTCTTTCTTTTCTTTGCTTTTAGAACGGAAAACACTCTACTCACTAGACATGGGAAAATTCCAATCCGAATCTAATTCCACCTTCGTTTTCTTGCCCGATTCTTGGCCAATTCTTGACCGATTCTTGACCGATTCCTGCCTGATTCTTGGCCGATTCCTGGCCGGTTGTTGACCGATTCTTGGCCGTTTCTTAGCCAATTCTTACCCAATTCTTGACCGTCTCTTAGCCGATTCCTCTGAACTTTTGTCTACAGATAGAAATGAACATCTTCAGCTTGTAGACAAAATTTCAGATCAATCGACCAAGAAACAGCCGAGAAAACGAAGGTGGAATTATTGGGTTGATGGAAAAGTCGTTTCCAATTTTTTGGGAGAGTACCTTTGTCCAATTTGTCGTTTGTCCAATTTTGACGTTTTATAGCTCATCCTGAAGCTGAATTCAAGACGGATCGATTGGTAAAAACCGTTTTGAGATATCTCTTTTCTAAAAAATCGGAAAAGACTTTTCCATCAACCCAATAGATTCGGCTTGAAATTTAGAAAAAAAATAGAAATTTTCCCACTCACAAGTGTCACCGTTTCCCCCATTGTCGACGAACCTTTTCCTCTGCGATCTCGAGATGCTTCTCTCCGACGACGAGTCATCCTCGGCAATCGATAGATAATCCATCTGTAATTCAGATAATAATCTTCTATTCCATTAGAGATAAATATCAGAAAAAGCGGAAAACAAACAAAAAGAGGTTTTCTTGTAACAAGATATCCATGAATACTAGAGTTGATTTGTTGATTTGTATGAAAAGGGAAGCCTAAGTTCAACTTAATCTCATCTCAATCTCAATCTAATCTATCAGATCTAGGAGTTCATCATTTCCTTTCAATACGGAGCGTTTCGTAGTCATTGAAAAGCTACGAAACGCTTCGGATCTAGGAGTTCATCATTTCCTTTCAATACGGAGCGCTTCGTAGTCATTGAAAAGTTACGAAAAGCTTCGGTTTCAAAGAATGGTGAACTTTGTAGTTCTTGAAATGAATAGCTAACTAATAGAATAGCTAACTAATAGAATAACTAACTAGTAGAATAGCTAACTAGTAGAATAGATAACTAATAGAATAGCTAACTAATAGAATAGCTAACTAACTTGAAACGAATAGCTAACTGAGTCGTCTACTTACCCAACTTTTCCTTTCCTATCTTCCTAGATTACGGTAATTGTGATGAAAAGTTCCCAGTACCCGTTTGTTAGCTTTTAGCTTTATTAGCTTTATTCAAACGCACCGTTCGACTGTATCTCAACAAGCGCAGCTGGGTGGCCAAGGACATTAGGAATTAGCTCAAATTCTTCAAAGATCTAATAGAATTTCGTTGAGATTCGAAACTCGATACAGTATCCAAAATGTTTTTTGACTATGTTTACCAATGGAACCTGGGATAGCCTGGAAAATCGAAAATCCAATTTTCGTCTTAATTAAAGCCGAGAAATCACAATTAAAGTTCAACTTTTAGGGATTTTTGAATTTCGGGGGAAAAGAATGAATTAATTAACAAAAAAGCGCTTTATTCTTTGCAAAATGAAATCTGACAATGGGTTTTTTTTTGGTTTTTATAGGGAAGATAGAAAGCGATCAATGCTAGTTTCTCGATAAAAAGCAGCATAGAAGCTTCTTTGAGAGGAAAGGGCGTGAATGATAGAAAAGCTGGTCAAGTAGGCTCTTGATCTGACTTCTAGCTGAACAATACAGTATCGCGCCAGTATCGCGCCAGTATTGCGCCAGTATTGCGCCAGTCAGCCAGCACAAGTCAGCCAAACATAAAGCCAGCTCAAGCCAAGAAAGCCAAAAGCCAAAAGCCAAAAGCTAAAGCCAAAGTTTGTCTTATGGTCTAGCGTCAGGTCGTCCGCCTCCGGCTCGGAGGACGCGAGTTCGTTTCTTCTTGAAGTCAAGGTTTTGTTGCGAATTGTGGACTTTACTCGCACTTGACTCAAAAAGGAAGAAAGAGGAAGAAAGGGGATAAGGAGGACACAAGAGGGGCGAGGTGAAGAGAGGAAAAAAAACAGAAACTTGTAACACAAATTTTTGCAGACTCTGTTTTCGATCCTACTATTCACCCTACTTTTCGATCTGATTTCAAAATTTGAAACTAGAGATGAAGAAAACTTTTTAAACATTAGTTTTGGGACCATGCTCAGTGTATCTGCAAAACAAATCCACCCACAAACTAAACAACGCCCAAAAATCTTTCAGCGCTATGAAGGAGTAAATCTAATAATCCATTCGTGAGCTTTTTCCCAGGTAAACAGGGATGTGCTCCTTTCCCCCCTATTCGCCTCGAAAGGCGGGCCAGAACCGGAAATTGAGCAACCACCGCGTGCAGCCAAGTGTCTCCTTTTGGGGCTTGGCCTACCAAAAATGAAATCCCCGATCCTTGATCATAAAGAGCAAAGAAAAACAAACATCTTGTGGTCCGTTCAATTTCTCCTTTTGTCCATCTAAAACACAGTTTCTGAATGTTGTTCATCACTGTTTATTTTGCCAGTTTGCTGAGTTTTGTAACAGATTTATTCAAAAATCAAACAACAATCCCTCAAGAATCACCATAAAGAATTACATTAAACAAAAAATATAACATAAACCGAACGCTTTAGTTTTCCTCCTCGGATTGATCCGACGAATCGCTTTCGTCTTCGCTCTCAAATGTGCCATCAGGCAGCGAATAGAGTCGAACCATTGGCGCTTGTGGATCCTTCATCAGCAAATATTTGCCCGGCTTTCGCTTCATCAAGCTAAAGTCGCTGCTTAAAACGATTTAATCTTAAAAGAGCTACCTGTCAATGATTACACGCAGAATACCCCAACAGTTGTCAAAGTTGAGAGCAATGTTCTGGGCGAACTCCATTGGACGCAACTAAACAATGTTCATTGTTAGCTATAAATTGAATGGTCTTTACAAAACTTAATTCCTATTCTCAAGCTTACTTGTTGTGTTCCAAGGATCACATGCTGTGCCGTGTTTTTTGGTGACAGACGAGACACATAACCAAACTTAATAGCATCGGAGCCAGCGAGAACAGACTAAAGAAATAAAGAATTTTACTTTTGTTCATGTTTTATCTACCTGGACAGTCCATTTAGCTAACTTGCATCCATTGTTCTTCATCTCGGTAGCCAAAACAGCTCCCTTTTGGGTATCAAGTTTTGCGCGCCAATCCACACCATTTGCCTAAAACCAATTAAAAACCTCAGCCTTCAAAAACCAATACCTGAGTGCTATCCCATTCATTGAAAGCTTTGATTGTCAGAGTTTGCACTTCTCCATTAACACCAACCTAATATAAGACAATGCTTTAAACTGAATTTAACCTATAACGAACCATGACTCCATCGTGCTCGGTACGAACGACAACCTCGATTGGTTTTCCATCGGCTCCATTTCCAAGGGAAAACTTGCGATACCCAAAATATTCTAACTTTACAAAAAACTTTAGTAAAGCTACTTGTAAGCGCAGGAAGCATCACTTGGCTCTCCTTCTTCATCGAATGGGCATTGAGGGTGCTTGTACTTGTAAGTTTGCGTGGCTTCTCCTTCACGACGAAGTACCTAAAATTCAAACGCTTATTAACATTTATTTTCTTCTTCAAACATCATGATCAAATTGGATTATAACTTACTTGTCGGCGGAAATTTTGATTGATGTATAGGGCTTCAGTAGCAAGGTCCTGAAAACAAGAACAATGACACTCTGACACTATAAATGGCAAACCCTAGCATTGTTTGCCACCGCGACATCGTTGTTTGGTGGATCGGGGCTAGTCTCCGAGACTGTCAAAGCATCAACCGGGTTGCTGAATCCTCCCGTATCACGACGATCAAAGAAGAGCTTGTTATCAACGCGGTGTGCGACGATATCCCAAGAATAGACCTACAACTTTTAAATTATCGGATTATCAAAATGGGTTTACCGAACGTGGAGCTGTCATCAAAGTTGCCAAGATGATATCCGTAGCAAAAACATTTCCAGCACTTTCCTTAGCCAATTTCTCCATCACCGGATCCTCAATAGTCGTCACATCTGTAAATTATCGTTTATCAACCCCTTCACACAAAATGAAAAATGCGCGAAGAAACTCACTGTAGAACGAGCCTCCACAACGTTGAAGTGCCGACGGGTTCTTCACAGAGACACGATCAATAGCCTAGAATCCGGAAATAAACACGCTCATCCAAAAGTAAACTACCTTGTCGTAATAGTAAAGTGAACCGTATTGATGATCACCGATATCTTGCCCAGTCGCTGTGACTCCAGGCAAGTTGAGCTTCAAAAGACGTGGGAAGTCCATCTCTTCGAGCACATCCCATTCAGGTCGCACTTGCACGGAAGGCAAACGATCCTTTGGACGATTGTCACCAAAACGACCTAAAATAAGACTCCATTATTAATGTGTATTTCCGAGCAATTCTTTTTATTTTAAATGTGCAGTCGCTACCTTGACGTGGGCCCATTCCTTGACGATTTTGTCCTCCGCGGCGTTGCCATTGCTTGTAAGCACGTTGATGCTCCCTAAAGATTTTAAGTTCAATTTCTTCTCGTAAATCGGAAAGATGCTCTTAGCAAAGAACTTTTAAATCATACTTGGCAATTGAACGTTTCATCTTTTGCGACTGCATGTGCTGAACGGTATCACGACGCTCTTGTTGATTTTGGAGCAACTTGCGGAAATGCATTTGCCGAGTACGGAAGTTGCGAGCCGGTGCACGTTGAACAGGTCGTGAAGAATCAACCTTAAAGCAAGTTAAATAAAAGAAAATAAAATTTCATCAAACCAATTGGAAGTTGTTCTCATCCATCTCGTGCACGTAGTCGAATTGCGAGCCAGCATTAGCAGCCGAACCATAAACTCGCTCATTGTAACTAAAAAACCACCAATTTGTTTAAACTTATTTTATTTACCGCTCTCCACGACGGAAATAGCGATCAACTCCAATCCAGTCAGCAACACGTCCAATACGATCAGCCTGTAATTGTGCAATGCAATAGGTCTGAACTTTTTCTTACTTTGTTGAACTGTTGGAAGGGAAGATTCGTTTCATCCGTATTAGTTCGTGGACCCCATCCGACAGTGTTGTCGGCAAAAGCTTCAATGTCGAACACAGGTAACGCCATCTAAATAAAACCATTAAAAGCTTTGCGTATCAGAGCAACTTTCAACAAATACAAACCACCAAAAAACAAAAAATTTTTCAAAAAGAACTAAAGAGTTAGACATTTAACGATGCTAAAGGCAATCGATCAAAGCGAAGTTCTCAAATTGGTCCCAAAAACTTTTATTAATCCGTACCCTTACCAACAAATTTACAAAGAAAAAACAACAAGGCGTTAATTTTAATCACAAAGATATCACAAAAAAAGAAACTCGTCTTTGGAAAAGAAAAATTGAGCATGGGCAAAATTTCCGTAGCACCCATAAATGAGATAAAATTATGGCAACGATGATAAAATCTTATCTAAAAACAATAAAAAAAAAACTATGAGTCCATACTAATTGTATCTTTATGCTTTCCGGCTTGGCTTCCAAACTGGGGCATCCGATGGAGGAAGGCTCGTTTTCCCTTGAATCAGATCGGCGGCTCTTTCGGCAAGCTAAAAAATTGGGATTTAGCAACAAGTTTAATAATAATCAAAAGAAGAAGTATACAAAACACACCATAATTGTTGGGGCGTTGAGATTTCCACTCACAATTGATGGCATCACAGAAGCATCGACAATCTAAAATAAAAGTTAGCTCAATTTGATGTGACTCCGTTCTTTTACTTTTTACGACAACCAAAAATTCCGCCTATAAAACTGTCAAATTTTATTTTTGTCTAACCTTCAAATTCTCAAAACCGTGTACATTCATCGTTTTTGGATCGACCACTGCCAGATTATCCTTTGAAGACCCCATCTTGCAAGTGCATGATGGATGATAGGCGGAAGCCGCTTGAGCTCGTACAAAATCATCAAGTTGTGCATCTAAAGGAACAAATGCCTTTGTTTTCTTAATAGAAAGCTTTTCATACCCGATACGCAGTCAGGTCCTGGCGCCAACTCTTCTCCTCTAAACGGATCAAACGGTGGAAGAGCGAAGAGCTCACGGGAAAGGCGTATGCATCGACGGAACTCTCGACGATCCTAAAAATAAATTACAGATCAATAGACACGCTCCAAAACTCACTTGATCGAGTGATAGGTAATTCGGATCAATGATTGGAGGCCTAAACAATGAAGTTAAATATTGTTGGCGATTAACAATTACCTTCTAGGGTCCTTGTTCTGAAGGCGTACAGTTCCATGTGACATTGAGCGCATCGGACCAACATGTACCTGAATGAGTAAATTCTTAATGAAATGGAAATTGCTTGGAAGGTTGGTAAAATAAATTTCGTACTTGATATGCGTGACATTGTCCAACTCCACGTCCGTCATCGTGCACCGTTGATGGCAAGAAGTGGAATTGAATATCGGGGTGGTCCACCTCTTCACTTGATCGTGCAAAGCCACCAGATTCCAAATGACTTGAGGCTCCAAGGCCCGTTCTCTTCGCAAACCACTCGAGACCAATCTAAATACACATCTTGTTGACTCCTAATAATGTCAAAGATTAATCTAAACAAAAATAAAACTAACCGCAATCATGTTATGTGGGAACTTCCATGAGCTTTTGTTGTACAACGTTACCGGCTGAGTGCACTTTTGTTGAACGTAAATCTCCAGATGGTCCTAAAATAAGATTTTATTATCGATTTAATATCTTAAAATAGTTCTGTCCTCCAAAATTTACTTGTAGATTCGACCCAACTCCAGGTGTGTCCTGTACCACATCGATTCCAAGACTTTTTATATGTTCGGCTGGTCCAATCCCGCTCAGCATCAGAAGTTGTGGTGAATTGAAGGCTCCTCCCGAAAGGATCACAGAATTCTCACAGTAGATCTTCTCGCGAAAACCGGCATCGATCTTTTGAAGCCCTTGTAGATAATTCACTTGGCGTAGATATTCGATGCCAATAGCTCGATCCTAAACAAATCATTAATGACCTAAACGAGTGAAAATGTAACCTTATGAGTCAAAATTTTCGTGCATGTGATCCCAGAAGAAACATGAAGATTTGGTCGATTCAGAATTGGCCACAAATACGCTCTTGAAGCACTCCAGCGATATCCATCGTGTATTGTCATATCCATTTTCGCAATTCCTTCTTGTTTATATCCATTCATGTCCTCCGTGGTGCCAACGGGATGAAATTTTCCAGTTTCTAGCCAAGCTTGATGCAGTACATGATCGGATTTTCCTTGTTGAACACGGAGAGGTCCGTTGTGCCCACGATATGGGTCATCCGACTTCGCGCCAGCAAACGTTTCCGCTTTCCGAAAGTAGGGCAAACAATCTCGATACGCCCATCCCATGGCTCCTTCCTTTTCCCATCGATCATAATCGTGGGCGTGACCCTAAAATAGTTTGTAAAACAAAAAATGTTTGCTTAAACCAACTCGAACGTAACACATTGCATTGAGCGATGAAGTGCCTCCCCAAACTCGACCACGTGGATTGTAAAACGTCCGATTGTTCATGTGCTTTTGCGCTGTTGTATAGTAGTACCTAAAACGAAAATCAAATCTTGAACAACTTTCTGAATTTGATCATGTCTGCATTCAAAGTTGTCACGAAACTAGTTGAGCTCAAAACCTACCAATTGTATCGTTCGCTGTCCAAATTGTGCATCAACGCGGCCGGCATGTGAATTCTCCAATCCCACCAGTGATCTTTTGGCCCGGCTTCGATGAGAAGCACGCGATTTGAGGGATCCTCCGTCAACCTAAACAAAAAGATTTTATTGCATACCCTAGTTGGGCCAATACATACACTCTCGATACTTATCTGTCTAAAGACACTACATAAAACCAAAGTTTAAACTAACCTATTTGCCAGCACGCATCCCGCCGATCCAGCTCCAACGATGATATGTGTGGGCTTCTTGTCGCCGAGCTCGGGCTCAATGTAGCCCGGTTTGGTGCTCGTTTTCCATCCATTTCGCCGGAGCGTTGTCGAGAAACTCCTTGTACTTCTAAAGGTGCATATCATACCAATCTAAAGACAAACACCGATAATTAAACATTGAGATCATAAAATAGCAAAAAACAAACAAAATCGTAACCGTATCAGAAGAAAGAACAACCTAAATTAATTACATTTAATGAAACGTTAACATACTAGGTTGGTGAATAAGTCTTTTCGTACTTCCGTTTAAATTTTCAGAGAAATTTATTCAGCCAATTTCTTTGTTAGAGATTTTGGTACTAGCCTAGTTGGGGGGGGCACTTTTTTTCTTCAAAACCACTTTTTCTGGGGTAGTTTTATGTGTCGATTCCGAAAAACACAACGGGAGCTTGGGGAAATGCGTTTTAAGCCAAGTTTCGGAACTCCAAAGAGGCAAAAGAAATTGAAAAAATATTTTTTGAGATTTTGACCGATTTTCCCACGTGGGGGGACCACGTGTTCGAAATTTGGAAAAAATATTTTATTTTGTCCCAATTTGGTCAGAAATGTAATCAGTAGGTTAAATTATGCCAGAAAAAAGTGTTTTAGCTTCAAAAAATGTTTTGAGAGACCATTTTTAGACCTCTCCCCTATGTGTATCCCTCTCACCACACTGTGTGTGAGCGCGGACTTTGAAGCCCCGAAACTTGGCTTAAAACGTATTTCCCCAAGTTATCGTTGTGTTTTTCGGAATCTACACATAAAAATACCCCAGAAAAAGTGGTTTTGAAGAAAAAAAGTGCTCCCCCCCCCACCCAACTACGAAAATTTTTATAGATTTTTACGAAACACACGTGTTTTCACTCGCGAATTTGCTTGAAAGTGAACTCAAACTGACTTAAAAAGATGGAAAATTGAATAATAAACACTTTTTATTGAGAGTAAACCATAAGTTAATTGGTGAATTTGTTATCTTTCAACGGATGTACAAAAAGGAACGAAAAGACTTATTCACCAACCTAATATTAAATTTTAAAGTGTCATAAACATAAATGTAATAAACCCAAAACTAAAGGTTAAATGTTTCCCAATCTTTTTCTTCAGCGACTTTCCAATTTTTTGATACCGTTTCAATTTGATCAAGATCCCGGGGTTTCTTCCAATTATCGTTTACAGGAAAGTCTGCGATTTCTTCTTTCAACAAAATTCTGTACGGAGCAACCATAACATTTGTACATCCTTCAAGTAAAATGTTCGTATTAACTGCACAATGAAGCCATAAAGCGCTCGAATCGTGAACCCGTATTTGATGAGCCGAGGCAAACAATTTCATCTCATCACAATTGTGAACTGAAAGCGAAGCAGTTGACGGCAAAAGAACAATCTTCGAATTTTTCACATCTCGTATTCTCACGGTCGATGGACGAAAAGCAACAAAAATTGTAGATGATTCAATGTTCTTTATCGACACATCCATCTCATCCTGTCCAGAAAAAGTTTGTTCGACGCTCGTCAAATTCTCGATTTGCAGCGTCTCACTGGAATCGGTTAGTAGATTGACAGGGCGGGCTTCGGATTGTTGTTCCGGAATTGAGAAGGTGGGTTGATCGACGGCCGAGAATTGAAAAGCTTCTATTTGCGTCGATCCGGCCTCGTGATAATTGCGGAGTTGCAAGAGCGCTTTCTTGATCTTCGAAGCCTCGTAGTTTTGATCGGTGAGCTCCAATCGTTCCTAAAAATAAAGTATTAGTAAGGTAATGATCTAGAAATAATACTTTAAACCTAAATTGCTGAAGTGAAGTTAGGAATGCTTTGAAAGCTACAAAGCTACCTCTGCCGAAGTTTTGCCTTGACTAAGATCGTTAAGCATACCTGTAGTTCTTTAATCGTTTCCTCTTTTCTCGGATCATCGATTCCCATTGTGGAGGCCCGTTTGAGAAGCTCGTCGAGTTGTCTCCCCTTTTGCTCTCCCTCGGCTTTCTTCGGGTTTTCGACTTTTTTCCGTTGGTCGAGTTTCGCGACCATCGCTTGTCGTCGTTGTTCTATCGCTCGTTGTCGTTGCTCTTTCGCTTGCTCGTCCATCTTTGAGAATAGCTGAAAGAAATCAATGTATTTTGACGAAAAGCGTAAGAGAAAGTAAACAAAGCACGAAGAAAATGAACAACAATGAAAAAGTACTCCGGTGATTTAAAGAAATCCAAATTATTCCTCTCCTTCAAAATTTTCTTTATACTTTTTTAGATCGCACAAAATTTACGGTAGTAAAAAGAAAAGGTTTCAAATAAAATTTAACAAATTGTATTTTTTATTTCTTTTACAAAATCAATCCATTTTCATTGAAAAAAACGATTGTTTTACTTTTTTGTTCAAAATTTTTGAAAAATGAAACCAAATGCGAAATTGTCAACTGATTCGTTATCTTAATCAATCATTTTCAGGCAAAAAAACGAGATAACTATCGGCTTTTTTCTGGAAAGCAAAAGATTTATGTGTTCGATGATGCAAAAACCCTACAATTTCAACGCAAAAAGGCCTATTCCCTCAGAAATAAGTTTTGTGTCCTGGTTAACGTAATCGAGGATTCGCGACGAGACCCGCAGATGGCACAAATTGGGGGAAAATAAACTACACAGATATCTGTTGTGCCATTCAAAAAGCTCTTATCACAGCCAGCAGATTGTCATCTTAATTTATCTTCTTTGTTAATAGAATAATTGTATTTAAAAATCTTCAGAATTCACATGATTTGAGCAATATGCAGAGCTCGTCCGAAGAAGAGACACCATTTGTGGTAAGAAAATAGTTGAACTACCGTAAAAATTCTAATAGAAGACCGCCCCCTGACCCCCTGAAATCTTTCGAAGAACTTCTGATTGTTTTGGGAGTGGGACAAATGCGACCTTTTTTGCGCACCCGGACATTTGCGCACCTTGCCCATTAGCGCACCTTTTTTCGCGTTTTAAAAAAGCTCTAAAAAGCTAATATTAACCAATTTCTATTCCAAAAGTTGTTTTTCTAGGTAATTTTAGGGCGTAGAATCGAAATTTTGACATATCAGAGCTTGTGGAAACAAACGGACGGAGTTATATAAAGAGAAAAATCGAAAATTTTCTGTAATTTGATCTAGCCGTTTTGTCTTTCAAATTGGTTCCACACGCTCTGATATGTCAAAATTTCGATTCTACGCCCTCAAATTACCTAGAAAAACAACTTTTGGAATAGAAATTGGTTAATATTAGCTTTTAGAGCTTTTTTAAAACGCGAAAAAAGGTGCGCTAATGGGCAAGGTGCGCAAAAAAGGTGCGCAAATGTCCGGGTGCGCAAAAAAAAGGTCGCATTTTTCCCACTCCCGATTGTTTTAGAAAAATGAGATTTTTTACACAGTGTTACCGTCTCTAATCGAAGCTTTCTAGACAGACAGTACTCTGTGATCTACCGTACTCTGTGATCGTGCTTCTGGCAGCTTTTACCCACTCAAATCCCCAATTTTTAGTCTCAATATGGTGACACTGACTCGTTGCGAAAAGCGTCCGAAGTCTTCATCTTTATGCATCGATGTTTCCGCGCCTCGAGAAATATCCGCGCTCATTGGTTCCTCGATCACCTAAACAAAGCTGTTGAGGTGCCGAAAAGTGACGCAAAACCGCCGTTTGTTGATGTGAGTTCGGTGTTTCACTTAATTTTTATGTTAACTGTCTAAATATGTCTAAATGTCTAAATTAAAATACCCATGAAAAATTTACAAAGTTCAGGACAAAACCGACAAGTACGGCAAAGAGATGGAGGTGCTTGGCGTGGTGGCCGAAGGAGGGAATCCCGATGAAAATGTGGAAGGCGAACGGTTTAAAGTGAGGATAACTAATGGATTTAGATAATTTTTATATCTATAGATATCTTTTTACTTCATTTAGATCACAATGGACACCAAAGTCACCTACATTTCCCGTTTCTACCGCCACGTTTTCGTCCTCGATCTCAGCCCATTCACACTTGTTGCTGTAGGTTTTGTGCTTAGATAATTCTACTTACCGTAAATACTGTCATAGTACCCCACCCCTATAATGACGGTGCGGAGCGTTGCGTAGTCTAACTTTGGATGCGTTTTTCTCGACACTCGTTTATGCTACAATGCGCGCTTAGGTATCAAAAAATAGCCCTGAATTTCAGCTACCGTATTTCTTCGAATAGAAGACCGGGTAAAGAGTATGATCGCGTACTCCTGCGTAGCAGCCCTTTTTAAAATTTCTTTTCTGCATAAAAGCTTTCAATCAAGTGCTATAGGGCTGGAAAATGGCTCAAGAATCTGTTAGCTCATGTGGTATTTTTGAGTGATTTTCCAGCTCTATAGCACTTGATTGAAAGCTTTTATGCAGAAAAGAAATTTTAAAAAGGGCTGCTACGCAGGAGTACGCGATGATACTCTTTACCCGGTCTTCTATTCGAAGAAATACGGTATTTTTATAATTCTATCCAGCTTGAAGCTCGAATTCTCCAATCTAAGAGAGCAACTTTGATAAATAAACTTTTCCTATATCTTTGAAGCCAACAGCTTGTAGTCAAACAGATTAATCCAAATCTTTGAATCAGTATTGCTAAGATAAACATCGATAAACATATTATAGGGATACGATAGGGTTTTAGCTGAATATCTTTCGAAATCTTTCTGAAGCGATTCAGATATATAGGTAAGTTGTTCTTTAATACTGAAGCTTGGAATGACTCGCCTATTGTGCTTTCTAAAAGGTACTGTAATCAACAAAATTACCGTAACCAACAAGTAGAAAACTATCGTAATCAACAAGTTCTAGAAAACTACTGTAATCAACCTAAATTTGGAACTAAAGCTTCATTTTTGATTCTGAAATTCAGGGCTATTTTTTCATACCAAAGACGCATTTTTTGAAAGTACAAGCGGTTTGAAAAAAGTAAAATAAAATTGCGACAACGCGACTGTGGGGTACTATTACAGTATTTACGGTAGATAATTCTACAGTAACCTGTCTAGATAACTTATATCTATAGTAATCTAATTTAGGATGACCGATCCGGTGCTTGCTTACACATGAAACTGCTTGAGTGCTTGAGAACGGCCATGTACGCGGTGACGAAAAGTGTAAGTAAAAAAAAGATTTATTATAAATTTAGATAATTTAAAGTTCTATTTTCAGCTATCTATTTTCAGTTCAAAATCCCGGGCACCAATCACATTTTCACTCCGCAAATCTGGGTCTCCGTTTGTGTGTTCACCCCGTTTCTCACTTTCGATGAGGATTTGGTGAGTTGAAAATCACTTGTAGTACTGTAGCAAATCTAGACTCTATACTTACATTTCTATACAGTAATTTTTAGGTCCTAGTCCAAGGCGTTCTTCTAACCGAAAGCAATGTCGAGGATCTTCTCGAAACGGTCACAAAACGATTCTACCGTATCCTTACTCAACTCCACAAATGTGCTAAACCAGTCTTCGCCGCTTGGGCTACCAAGAGACAAAAGACAAGGGTAAGATTTGAAACAAGTTGAAAATAAGATAAGATTCTTACAGTATTAGGTAAAATTTGCAATCTAGTATTGAAATTTCAGTGCAAATACGACTCAACATGTGAGCCATCAGATCGTTTCCTCAGCGAATCCGAGAATCGACCACCTTCAAAGGTATCTTTTACCACGATCTTTTAGCCACTATAAGTATCTTTTAGCAAGTATTCTTATTAATATTAATTAAATTATTAATTCAGCTAACGGTCCGCAATCTCCTCACGAGAAACCCTCGAAAAACAACGATTGAGCAAAAGTTGCCGAACATCTTTGAAGACGAGATTCCCCTCGAGGGTGTCATCAAATACAATCGACATTTTTGGTAAAGCTTTTGAAAACAAATCTACTTTGATACCTTGATAACTAACTTTTTTTACATTTCAGGAAAACATCAAAAGAGTGCGAGGGTTGTGAGGAGAAATGTGAATCGGTTTGTGATGGATATATCCAGCCGGAATGGGCGCTCATCTTCATGCTTCGAATTGGGCTCATTGCCGTGCAAATGCTTCCAGAAAACACGCAAAGCAGTACGTTTGAAGTGAAACGCAGTAGCAGTGAAACGAAAATTTGAAAATTTTTAAGCTGGCCAATAGAATTAGACCGCAGCTATAGTATTCGGCTAAATAGCCTGTTTGTCTACCCTGGTACAGTACGCTTTTATTACTGGAGTGAAACAATAGACTCAAATCTTACAACATCTAGAATCAAGTCAAAGAAAGTTTTTGCAGATATCGTTGTATTGACGGACTCGGTATGTGGAATGCCCGACGCGATCGCTCTCCATCAATTGCTGACTCAACTCCGCAGTTACACCGTTTCGTGCTCATTCATTCAGGTTAGGGATTACGCTTTAGAAAACAGATACAGTTTATTCTAACAACTCTACTCAATTCCCAATTCCAGATCCACAGTGGTGCCCGTTCCGAGCCCTGCTTCGGCCATGTCGCCTCATCGGAGCTCTTCCATTTCCTCGCCATGGCCACTTTTGGATCATTCCTCCCCAATTGCAAATGTTGTCTAGGTAAATATTCTAAAATCAATTACTCTACGAAAATCTAGGAGATATCGACAAAGATTTGAATTTCTCATCCGGTCAATCCTCTACCGCTCAATCACCGGCAAAAAGAATCCTCTCGGAAAGGAATTCAACGGAGAGCGGGAAAAGAGCGGCAAGAATTACATCGAATGGATCGATCGGGAGAAGACCATCTGAAGAGGTTGGATTTGAAAAACCCAAACAGTACTGTAAGTATTGACTGAAGTATTGTAAGTTAAACTCAAAATTTAAAGAAAGACCAAACTCTTGCCTCCTTCCGACTCCTACCGTTTTCCAAACTAGTACCGTACTCCAGAACATGATATTCAGTACTTTCCTATTACGATACCTTAGCAGGATACTGTAGTTTTAGTCTAATTAAATACCAATAATTTCCATTTCATTTCAGATTCCTCCCGGCATCTGTGCCGGAGCTCAACCGGGCCGAATGAACGCTTTCCATCGTGCGCTCGTCTGCTGGTGCTTCCAGAACGCTTTACAGGTTTCTATTTGACAATTTTTCGATATTTTTACTTACTAATTGAGCAGATATACATTTTTTTCAACTAAAATTCCCAATTCAGGAAAACCAGCACATCCAGAACCTCGCCAACGACATTAACCCGGAGTTCGCTCAACTATACTCACAGTCAGTTTGAATAGGAATGATTCGTTGTTTGGATAAAGCTTTAAAGCTTTATTCATACTTAAATTACTAGTTATACTAGTTGAGATATTTAGCTATACTTCTTTAATTAGCTTTTTTCAGAGATCAAGTCCGTAAACCCTACCTTGAACTCTTCTACACGACGACACTGCCAGAGTTGTTGTATGTCAGACTCCGAGAGGGATACACCCTAAAAAATACGAGTCTTGACGAAGATGGTGAAGTTTTAAAAGCTAGTTAAAGTTAGTTATGTAAAATGTAAAGTTCTGTTGAACTTGTAGCAGCTTTGTACTATACTTTGAGCTCAATATAAACGCATCCCTTCCGGTGCACTGAAATCTTCTGTTTTCGTGCGCTTTCAGCTCTCATACAGAGAGAAATTAAGACTTGCGGCGAGTACGCGAGATAAAGTGCGTTTAGATTTTGATTACAAAGTACAACATCAAGTTTTAGGAACAACTTTGCGTGTCCATTTGACTCTCCCATTTCGACCATCGGTTTTCATCGATTACGTCATCTATGGAACATTCCGATTAGACAGGGCACAAAGGTGAGTGATTTCTGGATAAGGGAGTGATTGCTGGATAAGTGAGTGATTGCTATTGCTTATTATTGTTTAATATTGCTTAGTATTGCTTAGTATTGTTTAATATTGCTTAGTATTGCTTAGTATTGTTTAGTATTGTTTAGTATTGCTTAGGATTGTTTAGTATTGCTTAGTATTGCTTATTATTGTTTAGTATTGCTTAGTATTGCTTAGTATTGCTTATTATTGTTTAGTATTGCTTATTATTGCTTATTATTGCTTATTATTGTTTAGTATTGCTTAGTATTGCTTAGTATTGTTTAGTATTGTTTAGTATTGCTTATTATTGTTTAGTATTGCTCTATTTTTCAGAGAAACTGTAAAAGTCGAGATTGCCATCGTGGCCCCGTATCACGTGATGAAAGATCTCTTGACTGAAGATGGCGATTTTGTGGATATGTCACGGCAGAAAGGAGTCACGGTCTTCAGAAACACGCTTGACAGGTGAATAGCTTATACAATAATTATTGCACTGGATAAATTAGCCTGGCATTCACTTGTAGGTGAAATTTTCTGATAAAGAAGATATCAACAAATGCCACAGATGATAGAATCAACACGGATCACAGAAAGCTTCTTGAGAGCAAAAGGGCGCAAAAAAGAGAAGCGATTTCAGCTGTCTGATGGTCTAGTGCCAGAGCGTCTGTCTCTTGCGATGGAGGAGGCGGGTTCGATCTCGCTTGTGGTCATCGTTTTTTGATATATTCTATACCTTATCGTTATCAAGAATTTAGCTGATTTACTTTCATTAATTTTTACTTTTAGTCTAATCGAAGCCGATCGTCTTCTCCTCCATCTCCATTCGTTCAACATTTTCCGTGAATTCTACACGATTCCATTCGGCATTTCGCCTCATTTCTCACTTTTTCGCCTCATCGACAAGGAAAGACGAGTGGTCGTCGAAATGCCGTGAGTTTTACCTGTATTTTCGATCGAATTCTTCACTTTCCATTTCCATTTCATTTTTTCTCAAAGCTTTTGAGCTTTAAGCTTTGAGCTTTGAGCTTTGGGCTTTGAGCTTTGAGCTTTGAGCTTTGAGCGTTGAGCTTTGAGTTTTGAGCTTGAGTCCAATCCTGTGTCCAATCCAGTCCAATCCTTGAGTCCAATCCAGTCCAATCCAGTCCAATCCAGTCCAATCCTTTTTTTTGCTCATGTTACCGAATTCAGATTCAAAAATGCTCAAAAAGGAAATGGAAAGGGTTTCCCAGAGAAAGTGTAAGTGTTGATGAAAACCAAAATCGTAAAAGATTTGCATTTTTTGCTTCTTTTTTTTTGAAAACTTGCTGGGATTATGCTTGAAAAGAGGCAATCGTATCATGAAAATTTAAAAATCTTCAGACGAGGTGACGCGCACACGATGACTTTCGTCGATTTCTGGAGGGTTTTGTGCAATTTGGATGAAGGAGTTTGGTGAGTTGGGAAATCTAACTTTAAGACTTTAAGAAATTTAAGACTAACTTTAAGTACATAAAAGTTCGATACTTTTTGGCATCTCTCCTCCGCTAATACCATATTTTTCCTAATAGTATGACATGGAGCATCGCGTTTTCGTTGTTTTTCTGTTTTTCTCCACACTAAATCACTTTTTTTTTTTACTTGCGAACCTTTGGACCGATTTTGTTCGGGTTTTTTCGAAAAAATAGAGAAATGAAGAAGCGATTTTTTAGAAAGAAAATAAAACTATTTATGCAAATGTTAGTCTTACAGTAATTTTGTAAATTAATTGTCTAAAAAGTACGAATTTTCACATTGATAAATTCGAAATTGAAGGCAAAAATGGGTGCACACGCATTGCGAACGGGTTCTTCTTCGAGTCGACGAGGTGCCCATAAATATCTTCAGAGAAGGATCCGCTAACGAAGTAATTGATTTAATTTATTCAATTTACATTAAGATATTAAGATATTAGACATTAAGACTACACTACTCTGGCATGCTGTAACTTTTTTTTTGATTTAAAATAAACTTCAGGTGACTTGCGAGAAATCGAATGGCGCTCTGCACGAGTTCCTCCGCAATACTACTTCTTTTTGCCTTCTGCACAAATTAGCATATGTGAAATTCGTTTATGGGTATGATAAGATCGATAATTCTTTAAAAATTCTTTTATATTTTATAGAGATAATTCTGAAGTGCCAAAATACTTTTACATGATTCGGATTTGCTCGGAACCACCGGCAGTCACCATCAAAATGGCGTTTCTCGGTGGGATCAGTAGCAGTGATCGGAGACAGGTTTGGAAAAGAGAAATTTGCAGAAAGTATTGTTAAGATTCTTGTATATTCTTCGATTCTTAAGATTCTTTTCCTATTATAGCCTAGATAGCTTTTCTAGATAGCTGACGAGTTTCGAAGAGATTTGATCAAGTTGAGGCTGAAAACGAGGACACATTCAAAGGAAAATCAACCTCCAAAGGTTTGCTTGATTGGTTTTGAAAACGAAAAACTATCAGTTCACATTTTTACAGTTCAATTTTTGTATCATTGATTAGATCTTGTGATTCCTCATAGTATGATATCAAAATTGAGTTGATTGAGTGAAAACTGGAGGCTGAATGACGATAGTTTTTTTAAAAATAGATGCATTTTAGAAGATTGAGATAAAATTCTACTTTTCTAGAGTTTCTAGGGGATTTTAAATGGCACATTTAAATTTAAAACTTTTCAGGAACCGATCGAAGCGCTTTCCGTGATCCGACGCCCTGTCGAACGAGTGCTGATTCGATACCGAAATGTGCCGATGAACCTGCGAGCAATGGTCCGTTTGAGTGAGGAAAGTGGAAGAGGGGAAACGATTCGACATCTCATTCTACACAACTCGCTCACGAAATATCTCAGCAGCAGGTGGGTTCGATTTGAGGACATTGGCCAGTCCCCCTTTGCCATTAGCAATCTAACTTTGAACACAAATTTCTTGGTGTTTCGCTGTTCAATATAAATAGTTTTTGTACCAATCGACAGAGGAAGACTTATTTATAAACTAAACAGCCCAACACAAAGATCTTTGAGCTTAAAGTTTAGATTGTCAATGGGAAAGCGGCTGGGCGGGTATGAAATGACCCTGGACAAAAATTAGATCAAAATCCCAAGAAACCCATTTCAGACGAAGAATCTGGAATCTCCCGTGCGTCTTCGAGCAAAATGGGATCACCGGGAGTAGCAAAGAGCACGCGACTTTCATTGCGCATACATTATTACAGTAAGAAATCTTTTTATAGTTAGCTGAGAGGCTGCCTAGAATCAAAAGAAAATCTGCTACTGGTCATTTACATTCACAATAATTTCAGCCGTCGTCTCAACGAGGGTTTTCATATTGCCTGGGCTGAAAATGGGATTGTTGGACTTTGCAAACAGGTCAGTCAGAGAGGAAAACTAATAAAAAAACTGATGCAGCTTTTCGATTTTCTTTTTCGATTAAGTTTTACACCCCTGAAAAGTCATTTGGCAGATTTTCATTTCAGATTCGGATTTCTCGTACCCGATTCTAGAAATTGTACTAGGTGTCCAGACAAAAGCTCACCTGGAGTTTATGCTCAGTTAAGTAACTTTTTAGGTTGTAACACCCGCCGGTTTCGCTCTCGAGCAATACATCTACTTCCCACCTCAAAACTTGTATTTGCCTTTCCGAGTGAATCGCAAGCGTTTACCGTCAACTTGGTGAGTTTGTATGGCTTAATATATGTTTTTATGATTTTACAGTACTAGTACCGGTACGATGAACTTTAAGAAAAACATAAAAAAATGTCACAGTTGATAGAATTCTCAATAAGGAACTCCTTGACAGGGAAAACGCGCGAAAAAGGCAGCGACTCCAGCTGTCTTATGGCCTAGTGCCAGAGCGTCCGTCTCTCGTGCTGGAGGAGGCGGGTTCGATCCCGCTTGCCGTCGACTTTTTGCGGATTGTGGACTTTACTTGCACTAGGTGCTGAAGCTAAGCTATTTGATGCTGAAGCTAAGTGGCTTTTTTGGGCAATGTGTATAATTCACTTGGAGAATTGCATTACTCATCTCTAGGTCCAAGTGCTTGACGGTTAGTAGTTGTTCGGTGCCTCTGTACTCTGTGCCCTCGTAAACGCATACTTCCTAGCGCACTCAATCGACTTTATTGGTGACAACGCTGCAAGAAAAGAGAGAATTGAATGCGCTAGAAGGGATCAGTTTACACAAGCACAGAGTACACAATGACCATCCCCCTTCTAACATCAAATCTAAACCCGATCCCCGTTTTTTTTTATTAAATGAATGATGACCGGGATCGGGGATCTCGTAAAGATGACCCGATTGATTGAATCGGAGAGTTTTGAGGGAGAAAAAGACAAATGCAAGGAACGGTGTTAGATTTTTGTGTTTTTTTTTTCTTATTCTAAAAGAATGAGGAAAAAAATTGACAAGGGTAAAAAAAAAAAGGGGGCAGCGCAGATCCGCACGAAGATAACTCCCACCGTGTACCACCGCCTTAGACTCGCTTTTTTTGTCGGCCTTAAGCACACAGAAAATCTTTACCTTGAATACAAAGTAGATTTAAAAGGCAATACTTTATACTATTTGATATGAATTGACCAAAAAAAAGACTTGAGCCAATTGGCAGTTTGAGAAAATGAGCCAATTGACGGTTTTTGAGATGATTTCAACTCAAAACGACTCCAATTTTTTCAAACTGAATATACTAGAGAAAGAAAAATGAGTCCTCTTCTCTAGTGTGCTAGGTGGGATGTGTTTCTATTTTTAGTGCAAAGTACACGAAAATCGGTAGTGTTTTTTAAATCATTGCCATTTAAATCATGCATTTAAATCATTTTGCAAAGTCATGCATTTAAATCATTTTAAATCATTTATATCAAAGACTTTGCCCTTACCATAATCTTTTAATCGCTCGATTGCACTTTTTCCAAGAAAAACTTAGCAGTTAAACGAATTTTCCTCGAAAATATTAGTCTAATTTCTTCGGGAAAAACACAAAAAAAAGAGATAAGCTTTTGTAAGAAATCGAGAAAAGAATTCGTAAGATTTACAAAAACTCATTCATTTTTGATGTTTGAACGTTTTTTTTTTTACAAATCTCATCGTAAATTTGAAAGTTTTGAAGATTTTGAAGAGAGATTTTCGAAATTATTGAGAATTAGCGAAATTTTTTGGTGATTTTCTTATCAAAAATCGGTTTTTATACGTGAATGACATTTCTATTAAGAAGAAAAAAAAAACAACCCGGAAATGGTGATATGGGTGAAAAACCGCAAAGCCAAAACACGGTAAATTGCCGGAAACTGACTATTTTTGAGAAAAACTTTACAAAAGAAACAAAATTCTGACGTCAGATAGTAGCGAGACGAGGCTGCAAGGGGAAAAGTTGAGAAGAAATGAGAAGAAATTAGAAGAAATGTAAAGAAATGAGAAGAAATGTAAAGGAATGTAAAGGAATGTAAAAAGAGTTGAGATCATTTGGAAGGTATCTTATATATAAAGGGACTAAGACGTCTCTTAGTTCGTCCGTCTATCAGTAGTTAAACTTTAAAGCAATAAGGCGATAAGTACGGAGCACCAGAGCAAAAAGCTCCTACGATTTTCGCATTGTATTGCAGTTTTGGTGAACTCTGTCACTGAAGGGATGCCTTTATAAGACCCTTCCTGACGGCGGACAACAACGTGGAGGTTTAGCCGATTGGTAAAGCGTTCACCTGGTAGACGAGAGGTACCAGGGTTCGAACCCTGGCGCCGTATTTTTGGATTCCCAGCCGAAACCCATAAATGGATCAGCTGTCCAACTTTGAACAAGTAGAACAATTAGTGATTTGCTGAAATCTTAGTGGTGGCTGAAATCCTAGTGAGCAAGAGGAAAACCAAGAGATTGTACAATCATCGCAAATTAAAATATACTATGATAGGACTACTATAATTCAGACTTTTGACTGATTTACTGTCGGTTAGAGAAGCTGTTCTTCTATAAGCGACAGTAAATCAGTAGAATAGATTCAAAGAGTCAGTTGCTTTTTTCAAGAGTTCAAGGTTCAGAGTGCTGGTACTGGTACTGATACTGGTACTGGTACTGGTACTGGTATTGGTACTGATACTGGTACTGGTACTGGTACTGGTATTGGTGTTGGTACTGGTACTGGTACTGGTACTGGTACTGGTATTGGTATTGGTACTGGTACTGGTACTGGTACTGGTACTGGTACTGGTACTGGTACTGGTACTGGTATTGGTATTGGTACTGGTACTGGTACTGGTACTGGTACTGGTAGTGGTACTGGTACTGGTATTGGTATTGACAGAGTCTAATAAAAGAGTTAACTTACTGTAGTTTCACTTTCGATAAGTTTCTCTTTAGTAAAACCATCGAACCTGAAGAAGAGGAGGATTACGGTATCGTATTCGAATCGGAAGAAAAAGAGGAGAAGAAAGAAAAAGAGCCCATCACATATCAGGTAGTTAAACAACCAAGATTTTCAATCTATTTAGCTTTAAAAACCTTTATAAATGCTAACTTTTTAGCTCATTGGCGAGTATTGGAGTGAACCGATTGCCGACTACGAGAATGAAGAGGTGAGTGAAGCAAAAAAAACCCTATAATATATAGCGTTATTTTGAAATCAAACCCAACCCTATTCGGAGTGTTGATTGAAATCCTTGAAATCTTTCTATTATCAGCTTATATCTAATCACTCTTTTCTACCAGAATTGAGAAGCTACCAGAATTGAGAGATTGACAGGGCTCCGCCTTTTTTCTTTCCACTCTCAGCTCCCCCCTCCCCTCTCCTCCTTCCCACATTCTCCTAAATAATTCCTAAATTTCTGGGCATATTTCTAGTTAAAGCTAGTTAAAGCTAGTTAAAACTTGTCGATTTTGAATCCTATAGATCTTAGATTTGAGTCCAAAACATTCAAACTGTACTCCTGGCTGTTGGCTGTGCTTTTCAAGTTTCTAGATTGTGGTCTTCTTGGCTGTTGGCTGTTGGCTGTGCTTTTCAAGTTTCTAGATTGTGGTTTTCTTTTCTAAATTGTGGTTTTCTTTTCTAAATTGGGGTTTTCTTTTCAATTTTCTTCTTTTAAAACATTTCAAAATTGAAAAATGATTGAAAATCATCGAAAATCAAAGAATTTTGTATACTTTATCATCAAGTAAACATTGAGTTTTTTTCTTTTCTTTTGAAGGTGACAATGAAATGCCACTTCGAAAAGTAAACAACTACTTGGCAATCGATAAATCGACTTTTATCTCGAATTTCATCCCTGTATTTGGCCCAAAAACCTTTACTTTTTCTTAGCTTGCCTTGAGATTTGCGAAATATTGAGCAAAAGTCATTGAACTTTGACTTGCCTTTAGCTGGAAATTGGCTTTAGTTCTTCTTTAGAGTTTAATCCCTCTGCCAACCCTGCGATCAGCTCCACCAGCTTCACCAGTTCTTTACAGAGTCAGTTACAGAGCCACTGTTACAGAGTCATTGTTACAGAGCTATTGTTCGTTAAATTTTGTCTATTGATCGATCTACACTATCGAAAAAAGGCATGAAATGGGGACAGCGCTTGCACAGGCTGTCCCTCTGCCCCTCTGCTCGCCTTCTCCCCCTTCTCCCATGTATAGGGTCCCCCCCTCAGTTTGTCTCCTCCTTTTTCTTTTTCTACACAATACGGGGGCAGCTTTATACGTTGATCGGGCGGCGGGCAGTGAAAAGAGACGCTCGATATGATGGCTCGATATTATGGCTCGATATTCAATATCATGCCCGTTTCCACTGTATATTGGATGGGAATTCCATTGATGTTTTGTTCGATACAACTTAATTCGATTCATTTTATACTCTCAATACTCAATCTTCAGCTATAGTGTGTGATGAGAGCGAAAACTTGTTGATTCATTGTTGCAGGTCTTACAAAGCTAGAGTTTACTGGGTACCCTAGAGCCTGAGCCTAAGCCTGAGCCTAAGCCTAAGCCTGAGCCTGAGCTAAGCCTAAGCATGAGCCCGAGCCTGAGCCTAAGCTGAGCCTGAGCTAAGCCTGAGCCTAAGCCTAAGCCTAAGCCTGAGCCTGAGCCTGAGCCTAAGCCTGAGTCAGCTTCAAAAACTCTAGCTACAAGTTCTATCGTTAGATTAACATGCTTTTAACGAACTCAAATTGATTTCCCATCGATATCCCTCTCTTTTCAGTCTATCGACCCAGGGGCTCTTGCCAGGCTGTGCTCTGTCCCTATCCCTTTTTAATATTCCCATCGGATCGAAGAGGAGAGAGCGACTGTATATGTTGAGAGGTGGCTGGGGGTGCCCTTTCCTCTTCCCTGCATTATATTCCCCTCCCGCATTTCACAGCACAGCCAATATATCTACATATTTGTGCCCCCAGTCGGCTAGAAAACTTTTTCACCGACTATACAAATTTCTGTTTGGCTACTGTCTAAAATACTACAGTACTAGTGGTTATTTATGGCTTGTGCATGATCTTTGATGAGTCTCTGCGTCATTCTTACCAGTTCTTGATTGTACGATATGGATAGATAGTCCTGTACAGCCTTATACAATAGTACAGTACATAGCACGTAGGATACAGTTCTTAGAGATTTATGTATTCCTGATATACGATATCCAGTTGTACCTTTTCCAGAAGTTTGATAACTTTAGCACTGTACTACACATACCTAGCCTTATCAATACTGTAATCACCGGACCACCGGATTACGGTACTTTGTGGAACACCTTTCAATCAAAGCCTGAGCTAAGCCTAAGCCTAAGCCTACGCCTAAGCCTAAGCCTAAGCCCTGTACCTGTACCTGTACCCTGAGCAAAACAATCAACAACCATAAGTCCACTACTGACCGGCTCGTTGAGTCATGTGTAATGTAATCACCGAGTGATTCATTTTAGTGATATGTGACGCCACGCCTTAGTTTTCTTTTCTTTCAACCTGTTCGGTCTAGTTAAGATAATCCGCTAAACAAATCTTATAAAAAACTATAGTTTGAAACATTTTAAATTATTTTGATGTTCCTTTGCCAGCATTCTTTCTAATTCTTACCTCCATAGACAAATTAGCCATGTTTATTTGTCCTGTAGTATTCAAATTCTAGAAAATCTTGGTAAAACTTACAGTAGGGCAGCCTAAGCCTACCCTGGCGGTAATTGGATACGTGTCGGTGTAGCTCATTGGTAGAGAGTTCGCCTGGTAACGGAGGTCGAATCTCGGCGCTGATTGTTTTGCATTACCAACCCACAGGACGTTTAGAAAGTGCAGACATTTCTGGGTAATACTCACTCTACGGAGCATGGTTGGCTAGTACTCACTCTACGGAGCATGACTGGCTAGTACTCACTCTACGGAGCATGACTGGCTAGTACTCACTCTACGGAGCATGACTGGCTAGTACTCACTCTACGGAGCATGGCTGGCTAGTACTCACTCTACGGAGCATGGCTGGCTAGTACTCACTCTACGGAGCATGGCTGGCTAGTACTCACCCTACGGAGCATGGCTGGCTAGTACTTCAAATCACTGAAGCTGGTGTTAGATACAATATTAAACCAACAATAATATTACTAGTACTAGTAACTACGATTTGTTTGGATACTCCTACAGATTTGTTTGGATACTCCTTGAGCTTGAGCTCAAGTTGTACTTGAGCATTACACTCTACACTATCGTAGTGGCTGTCATTGATATCACTGTAGTACTGGTAGACCTAAATCTAGCTCTGGGATTGAGAATGATCAGAATTTTCAAATATTATGCACTTTTTCTCATCTCTCACATTTCCTTGAAGTGTTTTTTTTGTTTTTCCCATTTCTCTTCATCCCTTCATTGTGTGCGGTTCAGTTGCAGGTTTAGATCTTCGGCCTAAACATTCAGTAAGCCAGATCTATAACTTTCAACTGAATCTTGCATAAAAAAAAATGATTTCAATCAACATCAACATCAATTTAACTTAAAATAAACGAAAATTTCGTAGTGAAATCTCTCTGAATCTCTCTATTTCAAAAGAATCAAAGAAAAATGAAAATAAGATTCAAAAGATCTTTGTAGAGTTATCGAATTTTATTAGAAATGTGCCGTTTTTACAAAAATACAAATGTTTATCTCAAAAATAAGCATGAAAAATCAGCTTTAAGCTTATTAAAATCAACTTTAGCTTATCAAAAATCAGCTTTAGCTTATTAAAATTAGGTTTAAGCTTATTAAAATCAGCTTCAGCTTATGAAAATCAGCTTTAGCTTATTAAAATCAACTTTAAGCTTATTAAAATCAGCTTTAAGCTTATCAAAAATCAGCTTTAGCTTATTAAAATCAGCTTTAGCCTATTAAAATCAGCTTTAAGCTTATTAAAATCAGCTTTAGCTTATCAAAAATCAGCTTTAGCTTATTAAAATTAGGTTTAAGCTTATTAAAATCAGATTTAAGCTTATTAAAATCAGCTTTAGCTTATTAAAATCAGCTTTAGCCTATTAAAATCAGCTTTAAGCTTATTAAAATCAGCTTTAGCTTATTAAAATCAGCTTTTAACTTATTAAAATCAGCTTTAATACTTGAGAAACGATGAATGATTGAGGAAAGATCAGAGAAATCAGAGAAATTTCGAATCTAATTTGATAACCTTTTGTTGAGTTGCGAGAAAATTGATTAACAAATTATCATTTTTAAATAATATATTGTTTTATTAGCATAGGAATTGAAAACTTTAAAGCTTTTATCCCACCAATTCATCCCCAATCGATCAATCTTCCCTTAGGTGGAGGTCAGGAGCTCTCCAGAATCAATTCCTTGGTGAGATTCTCACCTCCATTTCAGGGAAATCGACTGAAAATAACCGAAATCTTACAGTAGTCCTTTATTGCTTTACAGTAGCCCTTTATTGCTCTTTTAGCCTCGTCTCGTGAGCTCTCGCGATGATGATCTCATCTCGGTGCTTTTCACTCTCGATCAACTCATCAAATGGTGTCAAGAGGGACGGGGTGGACAATCTACGGTTGGGTTTTTTTTTAGTTATGAATGATTACGGGAATCTACAATCTACTCAGATCTATGTATGACATGGACACAGAAACTGACTCGGATAAAGCTTAAGGAAGAGCTTTTGTAGCCAGCTTCTACTGGGGTGTTCAATATTTATTGGGACTTGAGTTTAAAGGTTAAAACAGCGGTTTCAAAAGTGGTTTATGAGGAAAAAACATTAAGAAAATAGTAAAGATTTGGGAGAAACATGCTATGATTTAAAGCTAGTGATCTATTTGAACACTCTGTGGTACAGAGTCTCTACTATATCGAGATTACACCTATGTCAACTTTCGTGTACAGTACTTTAAATACAGTACTTTTGAACACAGTGCTTTTGAGTACAGTACTTTTGAGTACAGTACTTTTGAATACAGTACTTTGAATACAGTACTTTTGAATAAGATACTTTGAATAAGATACTTTGAATAAGATACTTTGAATAAGATACTTTGAATAAGGTACTTTGAATAAGGTACTTTGAATAAGGTATTTTGAATACAGTACTTTGAATACAGTACTTTGAATACAGTACTTTGAATACAGTACTTTTGAATAAGATACTTTGAATAAGATACTTTGAATAAGATACTTTGAATAAGGTACTTTGAATAAGGTACTTTGAATAAGGTATTTTGAATACAGTACTTTGAATACAGTACTTTGAATACAGTACTTTGAATACAGTACTTTGAATACAGTACTTTGAATACAGTACTTTGAATACAGTACTTTGAATACAGTACTTTGAATACAGTACTTTTGAATAAGATACTTTGAATAAGATACTTTGAATAAGATACTTTGAATAAGGTACTTTGAATAAGGTACTTTGAATAAGGTATTTTGAATACAGTACTTTGAATACAGTACTTTGAATACAGTACTTTGAATACAGTACTTTGAATACAGTACTTTGAATACAGTACTTTGAATACAGTACTTTGAATACAGTACTTTGAATACAGTACTTTGAATACAGTACTTTTAAGTGTACGGTACTTTTGACTGTACAGTACTTTTAAGTGTACAGTAATTTTGAGTGTACAGTACTTTTGAGTACCGTACACTAAAGTGAGTACCGTAGCAGTGTACACTAGTCCTGGCTAGCTAGGCAATCGAAATTTCAGATTCGCATCACTTCCCGGGGGAAAGACCCAGCGAAAATGTTGTCCGGTTGTGTCTCAGTGGCTGTGCAACCATTCTCCATCGGTGACCTACTCGAGAATGCCGAAAAGCGGCTATTGATACTGCCGCTGTTTGATAATGGTAATACATTAGGTTTTTAAAAGATACACCGGAGACGAGTTTATTCGACGCACACACAATGTTAGGCTATAACTATTACCTTAACCCATGCCTACATTCTCCCTAATCCCTACTGGATGATTCCTAGATAGCTTGTTGTGGCGGTGAAGAGAAGGCGAAGACGGTTGAATAGGTTTCTTGCATTAAGGGCTTGGGCCTTAATGAATCGATCCACCGGCGGGATTGAACCCGGGTCTCTATTTCCAGAGACAGTCACGCTGCCGTTGCCCCTCACCCCGCCACCTCACTTTGACAACAGAACACGATAAAAGGTGATAGGATTGCAAACACAACCATGAACACATTCAAGACGACATTTTGAGTGTACTGTCACGTCGTTAACTGTTTTACTGATAATTTAGTGTATATTCAAAGAAAAACTAAACGATTATAGTCATTCGATAGCCCTGAATCTCCTTTTGAAAACTTGTATAAAGTTGCCGAAAACTTTCTGCGAAACAAAGTAACAAAAGTCCTTAAAAACGAAGTTGGAACTAGGGCAAATCAAAAACTTGTGCGCCGCCTGGACTCGAACCCACGACCTTTCGCTTACCGGGCAACTGTGCTAACCATTACACCACAATGCACTTGACCCTCCTACCTCCAGAGGAAGTTAACTACGAGTCAGTCGTCATTAGCTTAACAGTGGGTTTTTCTGGGGCGGCGTTGTTGTCGTTGTGGTCCAGTCGGGAGCGCGATTCTTTCGGGCGCACATGGTGCGGTTCGATCCCCGTAGTGCCACTCAACTTTGAATTTTTTATGATAAGTGACATAATTACAATATATTCTAAGGTTTTCTAAAGAAGTTTTAGCTTTATTGGTTAAAACACGGCAGAGAAAATGCCCGTAAAAACAGCCAGACAGGCGGACAGACAAGCAGACAGACAGACAGACAGACAAGCAGACAGACAGACAGACAGACAAACAGACAGACAAACAGACAGACAAACAGACAGAGCAAACAGACAGAGAAACAGACAGAGAAACAGACAGACAGACAACCAGTTTTAAGGCAACAAATGAAAATGAAATGTCTCGTCATCAAGCTTAAACCAAATAACCACTGTAGTCAGTCATAAAGCCTCATACATTTGAGCGATACAGCCCTAAGAAAGACACTAACAAACATGCAACAGAGCCAGTGTTCCGTGAACTTTATCTTTCAAACATTCCCCAATCTCCCCAGCCAATCAATTCGCCTTCCTCTTCCCCCCATTTGTGTATATAATTGCCTATTCGTAAATTGTTTGTTCACTGTATCATTCTTCACCCATTTCCCTTCTTTCTCTTGACCTTTTCTGACCGTTCTGACTGAAATTGAGACTCATTCTGTTGTCTGTTTGTGTGAAAGGCTTTCCTTTCTTTCTTTCCTTTCTTTCCTTTCTTTCTTTCCTTTCTTTCTTTCCTTTCTTTCTATCTTTGCTTTCTTTCTTTCCTTTCTTTCTATCTTTGCTTTCTTTCTTTCTTTCTTTCTTTCTTTCCTATCTTTCTTTCCTTTCTTTCTTTCTTTCCTTTCTTTCTTTCTTTCTTTCCTTTCTTTCCTTTCCTTTACTTTCCCATTTTTCTCTTCCTATCACCACTTTTCATCAAAATTGTTTATAAATTGGGTGTGGAAATGGAGGAAAAAAGGGAACACTTGATGATTTTCTTCGCAATCCATTAGGGATTCGTTTTTTTTTGTTGAAATGAGTCATGGAAAGTACAGGAAAATGGGAATTTCTGTAGAATTTACGACTGGAAACAAATGGAGATTTATATACTAAAAGGAATTTGTTAAAAGGAAAGAATGTGTGTGGAAAAATCAAATGTGCTAACCATTACACCAAAACGCATCTGATCTACGTTATTCCAGAGGGAGTTAACTATAAACACTTTCATTCTGGTGCACTGAATTTTCAGGAAATCCTGCAAATTATAACACCAAAAAGTAGATTCATGAAAACTTCTAGTTGACCAAGTTCTACAAATTTGCATAAAGATTTTGTACAGATGAGACAGAATATTGCAAAACAACGGTTAAGTCCAAAAAATGAGTCTCTGTACTTTGTGCTAAGATGGAAAAGCATCCTTTTTAGTCCAGTAAATTCTTTATTTTCTCATAAGTCAAAGGAAGAACAGACTGTAGTCAGTGCATTTACATTTTAATACGAAGAAAAGGATGTTTAAAAAAGGCAAAGAGATCGTTGATGGATTCAGGACAAGCTTCGCCTATAATTCCTAAAATAGAAAGATCTTTTGAGATAAAAATATATCAAATGATTATTCAGATCGACCAGAAGGCGAGAAACGGAGTCACGAGAGAATGAGATTGCTGTTGACGGCGATTTTGAAAGAATTGGAGGGTGAGTTTGAGGGGAAATCGAGAAAATTGGAGATATCTTGGCTAACTTTAGACTGGGTTAACGAATAGCTAAAAATCGAAGCTTTCTAGACGAAGCTTTCTAATCGAAGCTTTCTAATCGAAGCTTTCTAAACGAAGCTTTCTAGACAAAGCTTTCTAAACGAAGCTTTCTAATTGAAGCTTTCTAATTGAAACTTTCTAAACGAAGCTTTCTAATTAAAGCTTTCTAATTGAAACTTTCTAAACGAAGCTTTCTAAACGAAGCTTTCTAAACGAAGCTTTCTAAATGAAGCTTTCTAATTAAAGCTTTCTAATTAAAGCTTTCTAAACGAAGCTTTCTAATTAAAGCTTTCTAATTGAAGCTTTCTAATTAAAGCTTTCTCAACGTAGCTCTCTATCGAATCAAATCTAGAGATAGTTTTGCATTATCAGTCTAGACTATGTTCCTTCTAATGTTTGCCATTTTTCTAAAATTATCTTGATCTTGATCGATTTTCTTTTTCAGGGTCCACTGATTGCTATGTTGATGTGGAGGATTCAGAGCTATGGAATCGAATCATGAGACAAGTAAGTATGAAGATAAAAATTGGTGATTAGGGGAATAAATTGCAAAACTTAGAAGAACTTAGAAACGTTTTGCACAAAATTTGATTGATTATGATGCTTTTGTTACAGTTTCTCTTGAATATGTGTCGCAGTAGGTGTGAAAAAAAAATAAGACAAATCTCTATCCTTCATAGCTATTGATTTTGGGAAATTCTGGGTTAAAGTTTGATACGATTGAGGTAAAAGAAAAACATACCATAAATACTGTAATAGTACCCCATCCCCATAATGACGGTGCGGAGTGTTGCGTAGTCTAACTTTGGACTCATTTTTCTCGACACTCGTTTATGCTACAATGCTCGTTTAGGTATCAAAAAATGGCCCTGAATTTCAGCTATTTTTTGATAGCTAAACGCACATTGTAGCTTAAAGGAGCGCAGAGAATGAAGCGTGGAAAGTTAGACTACGCGGCAATACCCCGTCATTATGGGGTTTCTATTAGAATAATTATAGTAAATACAGTTTTTTTGATCTGTCTTCGCACTTAGGTGTTCCTATTTGCGCAGATCAAAACCTGCTTCCACATTTCTCTATCTCTTGCTATTGTCATCCATTGTTTCCTATCTTGGTTGTTCCTGGTTCGGAGTCCTAAACTTGCGTGTGCTGGTGGTGGTTGCACTCTAGCCATCCTTTCTCTGACCGTCGCTGCCAATCTTGTGCTCCACCTGGTTGCTGGCCTTCCGATGGGCCTCTTCTGGTCTCGTGGTAGCCACTCTGTAATCCGTATCGATCCATATCGTCCATCTGTCGTCTATTCTTCTGACCACGTGGCCGGTCCATCTGAGTCTTCTTCTCTCGATCACTTCCACTGGATCTCTGAGTCCCGAGTGCGTCTTCCTATTGTGCCCGAGGAGGTTTCTTTCAAGGGCTCGATGTGTCGTTCTCAGAGATCGTTTGGTATGCTCGGTGGTCTGTGTCATGGCCCAGGTCTCTGTCCCGTAGAAGTGTGCCGGTAGGACGGTGCTATGAAGAGGTGTGCCCGAGTCCTCTGATGGTTCTTATTGTGCTTCTATTGTGTCCGAGGAGGTTTCTTTCAAGGGCTCGATAAAAAGTTGTCTGTTTATTGTTTATTATTGTCTGTTTATTGTTTATTATTGTCTATTATTCAAATCTTTTTAGGCAGACGAAAAGTCGACGGGTAACCGATCATCGCGTGTTTTTCTTCATCGTCTCAATCCATGGACAATGATGGCTATTGTGAGATTTGGCTATAGACTATAGGCTATAATATTATCTAAAATCAATATAGTTATTGCATTATTACGGTAGCTATTACAGTAACTTTTAAAAATCAATTTTTAGACACTTTGCAAAGTCTAGTTTTAGATCAATTTTAGATCAATTCTAGATCAATTCTAGATCCATTCTAGATCAATTCTAGTTCAATTTTATCGCAAATTAAACCTGATCGTTACTTTGTAAGAGACTTTAGTAATAAAGAATCATGTTTATTTCAAGTTTTTAAGAATTTTCTTATTTATTTCAGCCTTCAGAGCTATCAAATGACTATAAAAGTTTATTTTTCTTTCCATCAATTTCCAATTTCCATCAAATTATAAAACACTTAACAACCACGCAATTGTGCACAGAAAATTTCTTTGTTAATTATTCGATTTTTCTTAGCTAAATAGTTCTTTAGATGGCTCCACAAGAAACAGAAGAGCTCTTCGTTCAAGGTGGAGTTCCTTTATTGTTCTGCTTATGTGATGAGCCATCACTTGCCTATCGATTAACACAAAAAGATGAGAAGGTAAAGAATAAAGAATAATAATAACTTAAGATCTATTGTAAATAAGAATCTTATATTCTTATAATGTTATAATCTTATAATCTTATAACCTTATAATCTTATATTCTTATAATCTTATAATCTTATAATGTTATATTCTTATAATGTTATAATGTTATAATCTTATAATCTTATAAACTTATAATCTTATAATGTTATAATGTTATAATCTTATAATCTTATAACCTTATAACCTTATAGCCTTATAGCCTTATAACCTTATAACCGTATAACCTTATAACCTTATAATCTTATAACCTTATAATCTTATAACCTTATAACCTTATAACCTTATAATCTTATAACCTTATAACCTTATAACCTTATAATCTTATAACCTTATAACCTTATAACCTTATAACCTTATAACCTTATAACCTTATAATCTTATAATCTTATAATACTTTAGCCAAAGATGACTGTCGAAGATCTGCGTTTACGGGATGAAGTGTGGAAATTTGGTGAAGAAAGAGGTCATTTTCAAGAAAGCTTTTATCTTTTTTTAGATATATCTTTTTTTGGACTAATCAATGACTATTTAGAATTAGTTTAGATATAAATTTTCGATCGAAATTTCTTTCAATTTCAGTTTTAAATCCGCCAAATCAATTCGTTTGGGCGACGCGTTGTTCTGATTTGCAAAAGGGCCTTTATAAGTTTGTTTTTTCAATAAAATAAGTTTAAATTTCAAGAAATTAGATAGAATAAATGCTTTTGAATAGATATTTCAATATTTTAGACCAACATCTTTTGGAAAGTACGTCACAAAAGTACGAGATGAAGCCTGTGGACGAGCTACACTTTTTGCCATGTATCAAGCACTTAATAAAGGTTTCTTTGTATTATTTACTTCATAATAATAAACCTTAATTGAGATCCTATCTTTAAAAAGAAGAATTTCTTAGAAATGGAAGTCTCATCGGATACGGTTCAATATGTTCTTGAAGGCTTTTGTGATTACATGAAAATCGAGATCCCGAGAGTTTCTGAAGCTCTAGAAAAATTTTGTGCTCATGTAAGTCACTTTAAAATACATTTTTTGGTTCAAAAACCTAAACACAACCTTTCTAGCACAATCAGAGTTTCTTTTTTTATCTATATACATCTAAAAGTGCGCTAAAAAGAAGACTTTTGTCATTTTTAACTCAAAAATCTCTAGAAAACTACCTTTTGCAGTTAAAGATATCAACAAAACGATTAAATTCTTCTATTTTACAAGTCTATTCTATAGTTATCTATTCTATAGTTAAAGCTACATCATTTATCTTTTAGCTACACCATTTATCCAAAGATGATCCTCGACATAATCAAGTGAATTTGGAAGAGAGTTGTTATACGGGGACCGACTTCGAATCACTATTTGCTAATGCTGTTGAGCAAAACTTTAAGGTAAAAGCAAAAAAAGTTGAATTCTTGTTTAAGAACTTGTTATTCTTGTTTAAACCGTTAAAATTTATTATTTAGCCGATTCAAACACTGCCGAGTTACTACATTTATCAGAAGAAAGGCCGTGATCGAAAGATAACGACACAGAGTGATCGAAGTCCTTTACCCTTCACTGGCATCGATGCCACGAGTTTGTTTACTTTTTTTATGAATTAGTCAATTAGGATTTGAAAAGCCAATTCGGAAACGTGTTTGGAAAGTCCTTAAAATACATTTTCCGGGATAGTTTCGGAGTGTCTTGTAAAGCTTTTAAACAGGATAAATTTGTAGACGTGAGACGTGCTGAAACTTGATTTTCGGGAACGAACAAGTTTCCAAACCAGTTAAGCCGGACCAAAAAGTTAAGCCTAATTTTGTCAAATTGTTTTTTTTTAAAACAAACGATATTCATTTCATAGGAAATTGAATCCAATAATCCGTCCCGAACTTTATCCTTTTTGAACGGGAGTTCGGGACGGAAAACTCCAATTTACTATCCCTGATCGTCCCAAATTCTTAGAAATCTATTGTCAATAGATTTAAAGCCAATAGATTTGCCGATCTATTGGCTTTAGAAGAATTGTTGATGATTTTTTTGATCATTGATGGCAACTGTTGAACTTTTATAGCTGATTTCTGAATTTGGTTCTGAACCTTGAACCCATCAAACAATTTTTATGAATAAATTTACTCTATAGATCCTTATCTAGATAACAACATTTGGATATATTCAATATATTTAAATATAAATGTCAAAACTTTAGGTGGTGACAAGACTCCGGATGAATCTGAGCACTCTTCACTCATCCGTGCCTCGTCCGGTCCACCGATTAGGCGAAGAGCCCGCGGCATGTATGGATCCGAGATCCCGCTTTTCTTGTACTTCAGTTGTTCGATTCATTTCCCGGATGGTGAGTTGAAGGGAAAGGCAAACTATTGGCTATGAAGGCATAATAGCTGAGACTGACGAACAGGGATCAACCATCAAGTTGAGCCTGAGCCTAAGCCTGAGCCTGAGCTTAAGCCTAAGCCTAAACTAGCTGAGATCCAGAAAATGGGGGTTAGCCCAAACCCAAATAGACTTAGTGCAAGGCGCTAGCCTTGCACAAAGTCCAAGCCTAGGCCTGAGTCTAAGCCTGAGTCTAAGCCTGAACCTAGACAGTAAGCCTGCCAAAATCGGGTTGACTTAAAGAAATTTGCAAAGAGTTTTCTGCCTTTCTACTCGCTATATTCTCAGGTTCGATGACATCATTCCCTGTCCAACATCTCCCATACTGTCTGCACGAGTTGGTCGCAAAATGCCCGGAAAAACCGTCAACGCCGTTCAATGTAGCCGACGTTAAGGTCAATGTCGATCTCTACGTACTTTCTTGGCCGATTGAGGACGAGGATGAGCATTTAACGAGTCGGGTATGTGCTTTTGGGATGAATTTCGTTAGTACAGATTTTAGTGGTCAACGTCCGATGACAAAGAGAAAAGCTATGCGAAGCGTCGAATGCAGGCTTTCCGCGATGCTCTTCCAAAGCCAGAACAAGAAGTGATCAAGAGATTGCTGAGAAATGTGCAGAGATTGATTGAGATGGAGGTGGGGATTGATTGAGGAATTTGTGGATTTCAAATTAGACATGGGTACTATAAACTAAGAACTAGAAAATGCCTAAAAACAAACTACAAACGCTAAAATACAAACCTAAACTACAAACGTAAACTATAAACGCTTCTAATTTGCTTCAAATCTGTTGGATTCAAATGATCTATATCTTAAAATATAGAGCATATCAAGAGCTTTCGAATGAACTAAAGCACATCGAAAAAGATCAATTCTAAAGAAAGTTACAGTTAAGATAGCTTCAACTACGTGAGAGTACGATCCATTCCCCTGCAAACTACTGTAACTTTCTTTAGAATTGGTATTTTTCGATGTACTTTGATCCATTCAAAAGTTCTTCGGATTCTCTATTTTTTGAGCTATAGACCATTTGAATCCGGTAGATTTGAAGCAAATTAGAAGCGTTTGTAAAGTGATAGGTCATCGTTTTTGTAGTTTCTAGTGCTAATTTCTATTTCAAATCAAATTTTAGATGGTTTTAACCGATTCTCGTCGACAAACGGTCACACTGGGAAAGCTTCAAAAAATCAGCGATTTTATCAGCAAAGAGTTGAAAGATAATGGAGCTGATAAGAGAATCGATCAGAAACAGAGAACTGTTCATTTGGTTATCAACAAGCCCGGGATTATGGACGAGTTGAAGAAGAGGTTGGTGTAAGGGATAAGGTCCTCTCCTGACGCCAATCGGACACGTGCCGGCGTAGCTCATTGGTAGAGCGTTCGCCCAGCAAGCGAGAGATCTCGGGTTCGAATCCGGGTGCAGACTCGTAAACGGACCTGTGTGTCGAACTCCATTTTTGGAGTGGTTTACCGAAAGAATCTATATGCCAGAAGGTGCGCGTTTCTTTGGGGACAAAGTTCGGTTTGAAAATTGAAAATTGATCGGTTGAATGGAAAAATGTATAGACCAACTTAGCTGCGTTTTCAGTTTTCAATCCAATCTTTGTACTCAAGTAAACGCTCACCTTTTGGCACACTAGATATCCAAACATATCCAACCAAAAGACCGATCAAGCAAACCATTTTTCAATTACTGTCTTTCGCTTTAGATTACTGTAGGAAGTATGCCAGAAAGAGTGCGCTTGCTAGAGTACTTTAGTATTCGAAACGCACGCCTTCTGGCACACTGATTTTCCATATTTAGATGAAATGTTAATCTTCATTCCATTGTTCAGACTGAATGGAATCACGGCCGAGTACTGTAATTTGAAACGAATCGATGACTCGGATATGTTCTATTGTGTGCCTTTTGAAGAGCCGTCTACTGTAGAAAGGAGATCAAGGAATGAGAGTCGACGAGCATCCACCACTAATCTCAATGTAAGAATTGATGAAAAGAATAGTTAGCTGAAAATCTATTGTTAGCTGAATCTCTATTCATAGCTGAATGTCTAGGAATAGATATTCAGCTAGGAATAGATATTTAGCTAAGAATAGATATTTAGCTAGGAATAGATAATCAGCTAGCAATAGATATTCAGCTAGGAATAGATATTTAGCTAGGAATAGATACTCAGCTAACAATAGCTGAATATCTATTGCTTCCTAGCTGAATATCTATTGCTTTCTTCTTTAATTATTGTAATCTTTTCAGTCAAACCGAAGCCGACAAGTCTCCGGTGATCCGACAATTGAAAGCAATACAAATAAACATCCATCACCACTTCGCGACAGGTTTTTGCAAGAATAAAATAAAGTATTCTTAAGATCGAATTTGATTCAATGATTTAAAGCAAAGTTTTTTTGATCAATATTATTGTAACAATTTGTAGAAATGCAAGCTCTGGAAACTCGTTGAGCATCGAAGCAGCCAATCCGCCGATGACTTTGCTGAGACATCGCGAGAAATCGGATGCTTTTGCTGATTTCTGGTTGATTCTCTCTGTTTCTGATGTGCTACTCTTTCAGCTTTGTAGAAGGTAATATTTTCATTCATTTTCATTTTCATTTTCATTCATTTTCATTTTCATTGTCGTTATTTTCATTTCATTTCATTAAACCATTTCACTTTTGTATTCAAAAGCCAATAGCTGTGCACTGATTCATTTTGAGCACAAATTTCTCTAGCAAACTTCATAAACACATCCTTTCTAGTGCACTTACAGCTTACAAAAGCTCTTACTGAAACTCAGCACACTAGGAAGTATGTGTTTAGTGTTGAGCTCAAAGTATATTACGAAATCTAGACACACGGATCGTCATGAGCGTCTCTTCGATTTGATGTGGAGAAAAGTGAAGCAAACTCTTCGAATTCTCAATCAGGAAATGTTATTAGAAAAGGTGAACGAATACTTTATTAAGTCTAAGTTTTGTTTAAGTTTTATCTAAGTTTTGACTAAGTTTTGTTTAAGTTTTGTTTAAGCTAAGTTTTATTTAAGTTTTATCTAAGTTTTGACTAAATTTGATCTAAATTTGATCTAAATTTTATTTAGACTCTTCTAACTCGTGAAGTTGATTCACTTCTTCTATCTCCACCAGATTCAGGAAGATTTGTCAGTGGGAGTAAAGCGAATCAACATGGTCAGTAGAGGGGATTTGTAGAGTCATTTTAGTACAGTCGTTTACAAGTTATTGTAGTTATTGTACAAGCACTTTATTTTAGCGCCTCCGTTTTTATATTGTAAGTCAACTAAACCAAGCTTAGTTCTTGAGGTTTTAGAGGTTTGGAGCTTAGAATGCTTTCTATTCTGGAGTACTGTAGTAGAAGAAGTAGAAGTAGTAGGAGTACTAGGAGTATTAGGAGTACTCGGAGTACTAGGAGTACTGTAGTAAAGGTACTGTAGTATGAGTAGTAGTTAGAGTACTGTAGTAGGAGTAGTAGTAGGAGTAGTAGGAGTACTGTAGTAGTAGTAGTAGTGGGAGTACTGTAGTAGTAGAAGTAGTGGGAGTACTGTAGATGCTCAACATTACTATATAATTATCTAGATATTTAGATAATATATTTTAGTATCTGATGATGATTTCGAGGGTGATGAGGGCCGCCATGCTCCAGTCACTGACAACGCTCGTTTTCAGTATGAACCTGGGCATTTTGCTTGTGAAATGAAACACGAGAAATGGTAAATAAATTGAAAGCGATTAGAACTAATAGTATTATAAAACTTATAGATTTAAAATTTTTAATTTCCAAATATCTAGGTTCTCTCTGCATCCACGCGTTCGATCGAGTCGCCTAACGAATTTCTCCGGTATCAACAGCGTTGTCCAAATGAACACCGGCATGGACGCGTTGAAAAGAGAATTGGATCCTTTTCTTGTCAAGAATCGAAATCTTCCATATGTCTATGTACTCAGGTAAATATTGGGGAAAGTATTGTAATAGAATTGTACAATTATTACCTACCGTAAATACTGTAATAGTACCCCATCCCTATCATGACGGTGCGAAGCGTTGCGTAGTCTAGCTTTGAACACGTTTTTCTCGACACTCGTTTATGCTACAATGTGCGCTTAGGTATCAAAAAATAGCTGAAATTCAGGGCTATTTTTTGATACCAAAGACGCATTTTTTGAAAGTATGGACGCTTTGAAAAAAATGAAATACTAAACTTTTGCGACTACGCGACTGTACGAGGGGCGTCGGGTCCAATTACAGTATTTACGATAATATTTACTCAATAGTTACCTAAAACCTTTACCACAACACGTGTACTTTGTGCTCAAGAGTAAACAAAATCCTTTCTGCAAAACTCTAGCATTTTTTCATTTTTCGACTTATAGAAAAGAGAAATCTTGAAAAATCTTTGAAATTCAATCTACTAGAAAGATTTACTAGTTTACTAGAAAGATTTTGTTTACCCTTGAGCTCAAAGAACACGCTGAATAGAGATAATGATGCCAGAGATAATCAGAATCAGATGCCAGAGAAAAAGTAATCAATAATTATTCTAGTGATCGTCATCAGCACGTTTTCTATCTTCAATTGCACAACAGCATGGAAACGTTGATGCACACAATGATCAATGGAAGGAAAAGCTGGAAAAAGTGAGTCGAGAGAGGAAATTGTTGATAGTACTTGCTAGTACTGTTAAAAGTACTCTTAAAAGATGAATCATTCAAAAAAAACTATCGTAATCTTTGCTTTGAACTTTACTTTGTAGCTTAATTCAGCTTTGTTTCTATTAAAAAGTGAAATGATTGCTAAAAAAGTCGTGTTTACATGTTTTTGAAGGTCATTTAAATGCAAATTAATGTAGCTAATGGTCAAAAAAAACTCATAATCTATTAGTTTTCTAATAGTTTTCTAATTTCTAATAGTTTCCTAATTTTAGACGAGCCTATCATCGATTGGAGAAACAAGATGAAGTTCTTCTTTCTGTTCATGGAGTATATGAGCCTGATCAAGATTTCATCGAGAGTTTCATCAACAAATTGCAGGTTAGAAAGATAGACTATAGAGAAAAAAAGCTATAGAGAAAAAAGACTATAGACAAAAAACTATAGACTATGATGCTTAAATCAAATCAACTTAAATCAATCAACTCAAACCAATCAACTTAAATCAATCAATTTAAATCAACCAACTTAAATCAATCAACTTAAACCAATCAACATAAACCAATCAATTTAAACCAATCAACTCAAAACAATCAACTAAACCAATCAACATAAACCAATCAATTTAAACCAATCAACTCAAACCAATCAACTAAACCAATCAACTTAAACCAATCAACTTAAACCAATCAACTTAAACCAATCAATCTTCAAAATCAATTTTCTTTTAGAAAAGATTAGACAACACAACGCTTGATCATTTGGTGATGATGCTTGGAAAGAACGCACATATTAGACTCGAACCAGCTGATGTGCAAGTAAAGAAAGAGCTTTTATTGATCAATTTTAAAGATAAACCTCTCGATTTTAGATTTTAAGAGCTATTCTTTAGAGATTGATCGAGATAATCTTTCGACCTTTAGATTAGATTTAGATTTTAAATCGATTTAAAGCTTTCAAAGCTTTGTTCAAAGCTTTCAAAGCTCTCTGTTTTTCAGTTCATCCAAAAAGATCCCCGATACCCTAATGCGACTTTTCACTTTGCCATCCCTGCAGCCCTAGAGGCTCATCTACAGGTAAAATCTAATATTATTAAGACAGTATGATTAGATTACTGTACTTTAAGTACTTTTTACGTTTAGGCTATCTATGTCTACTTCCATCAACAACTTTACACCGTCGATATTCATTCGGCCAAGTACAAGGTAACTTGGAGAGGCTACCTGTTAGAGAGATAAACTTACTCTAACGGCAACAGCACGCTTGTTACTATAGCTCATTGGTAAAGCGCTCGGCCGCTAAGCCATCGAGCGGGATAGGCTCCGCCTGTTCGAACCCCAGGACCAACCTTTTTTGGATTCCCCAGCCTCAACCCAGCCAGCGTATCCTTTTACTTTGTTACGGTACTTTACATTCTTACGATACTTTTAGCAGAATGGTAAGAGATATCAAAATCGTTTCTAGATTTAACATTAATTTAAATGCAAAATGAATAGTGTAAGTGTGTTTGAAAGTCCGTTTCCTAGTAAGACATAAGGCCCAACCCTCTGGGACACTTGTAGCTGGGACACTTGTAGCCATTGGTAGAGCGTTCCACCGGTAAGCGTGAGGTCACGGGTGTTTTGGACCTGTTTTGGATTCCCAGCCATTTTAAAAGCATCGGCGTGTCCAACTAGGGCACCAGGGCTCCAAAGCTTTCGAAACTGGATATCTATTAAGAACCAAAAGCTTTGCAGTGGCAAAAGAAATTTTGGAGAAAAAAGTAAACGAATTGGCGGCAAGAGGAGGCAAACCCGCGACCTCCCTCTTCCGTTTGTTTGAAAGACGCGCGCGTTAAACACTCGGCCAGTAGATGGCGCAGTGCGAGCGCACTTGGCTCTAGCCCACACGATCCGGGTTCGACTCCCGCCCGTGGTAGCAGTTTTGGTTTTTAAAAAATTTAAAAAGATATCGCATAACTAGATGGAATTCTAAGTGAAACTAACTATAAGTTATTTGAAACGGTTCACTAGGTGGGGAGTAGTGCGCACAGAGAGACAGACAGATAGACAGATAGATAGACAGATAGACAGATAGACAGATAGACAGATAGATAGACAGATAGACAGACAGACAGACAGACAGACAGACAGCCAGCCAGTCAGTCAGCTAGACAGACGTCTTCGTCCCTTAGTAGATCATTTGCATACACCTAAGGGTATATTTTAAATAGCTACAGTACATCCGTATGTAATCAAGCCTGCTAAATAGGGCTTAGGATGAGTCGAGCGAAAGGTAATCCTGGATACTTGAGTCTACGTTGCTTTCAGGATCTAGATTTGTATTGGATCACAATTTGCCGTGAAAAATCTAACTAGAATAGATATCTACAGTACTTTGCAAAAGTACAGTACAGTACTACAGTTTCAATTTCCAGGATGAATCAGGCGCTCGGGCGATGCCGACCCTTTTCCGACCACTTCCCCCACCCAATCAAATCCCAATCCCACGAGACTACCAACCACAATTCAAGCTATCGATTCGACCAATGAAAGAAGGAAATCGAACAACAGGTGGGAAAGTTTTGAGTACTCATTTAAGTACTGTAGCTGATATCTAAGCTTGAATTGGTTCTCGATTTACTTTTGATCAATTGCTTGCTTGTTTGCTTGTCTACTTGTCTGATTTTCTTGTCTTACTTGTCATTCTTTGTTTATTGCTGTTTTGCAGTAAACAAAAGTCAATTCCGTTTTTTGAAAGCCTATCAATTATTCCAGGAATCGCTTGCCTCGAGTTCCGTTTCGTCAACGAGAAACGCGAGATCTTGAGCCCTCGATCGGGTCGACTCAACAATAGTACACATATTTCGTTGAGTAAGTGATGAGGCTTAGACTTGGAGTTAAATACTTATTATATAGACTTACGACATAGACTTAGTACTTAGACTTACTACATAGACTTACTACATAGAATTACTACATAGAATTACTACATAGAATTACTACATACTTACTACATAGACTTACTACATAGACTTACTACATAGAATTACTACTTAGACTTACTACATAGAATTACTACTTAGACTTACTACTTAGATACTTCTTAGATAGACTTGCACTAGGAATATTTATCTCAAACAGTAGCCAACACCTTTAGTGTTGCCAACCGAATCGGATGCGATCCGTTTGCAGCATTACAAGAATTTGACCACCATCGAACGGGTGAAAGAGGTCGAGAAGAGGGAAGGTAAATAGCTTGGCTATTCCCAAATGATTAATACCAGATGGCTCAGTGGTTAGGGTAATTGCCTGGAAAGAGAAAGGTCAGAAGGTCGAAGGTTCCAGCCCCTATCCGGCAATCTCCTTTTTTTGCCAATTTCTAAGCTTAGCCTAAGCCTAGCCTAGCCTAGCCTGAGCAACTATAAATTAGCATAACAATGCTATCAAATTCTAGGCATTTGTGCGTTTGCTGAAGTGGCTGTTTGGCAAGCAGGCGATGTTGGCTTGGAAGAGCTCGAGAATAAACTCGCTGGATGTTTGAGAATGGTAGAGTTCAATCAATAAAGATTTTCAAGAATTAGAATTGAACATTGAATTCAAAGGCTGTATGTGATGTAATGACCGAGTACGGATTGCTCAACGATACGATTATCGAACTGGAACAAGCGCCCGTTCTCCCAATGTCGCCAATAGCTCATCAGTCGATACAGACGCCGCTGTCCGGGCAAAGTAAACTTTTACAGTATCTGAGATCAATAGTGATCTCAGTTGTTCTCAAGGCATTTTCCAGAAGCTAAGTCCAGTTCTGGTCCAGTTCTGGCTTCTGGGATTGGCTTGCAGAAGTCAAGAAGCTAGGAATGGATCTATGAATCTTGGAACAGTCTTAAGATCAGTAAATAGCTGAATGCTAAGTTGATTTGTCAAATTTACAGTACTAAGAGCAGTAAATAGCTGGATTTCTATCAAAAACTCAAGGAAAACCCTTTCCAAAAAGCCTTATCTTTCCAGAAAGCCGTGAGCGAGCCCTTCTGATCCGTCAACGTTCCTCGAGTGAGGCTCAAACTCCATCAACCGGCCAACCACCACCCCTTCTCACTCCCGTTTCCTCACAGAAATATACCCTGGCAACGATTGATCAAAAACATGTAATAGATTTTTGTTATATAGCTATAGATTCGATTTCTATAGCTAATATAATAGGTTGATGCATAAGTCTTTTCGTTTTTTTCGTACTTCTGTTAAAAAGTAACAAATTCACCAATTAATCTATAGTTTGCTCTATAAAAAAAAGTGTTTTTTTTGTTCAATTTGCATCTTTTTAAATGAATTTCGGTTCACTTTCAAGCAAATTCGAGAGTGAAAAACGCCTTTTTCGTAAAAATCTATAAAAAACTCTACGGAAAAATTGGCTGAATGAATTTCTCTGAAATTTTGGCCAAATATCAAACGTTTTTTTTTCTCTATCTTTTATCTATTGACACGAAGATAGGTTTTCTTTAGCTAAGGTGTCTAAACCGCATCATCGAGTTAGCCCTTTTTGACTACCCGACTTCATACTCTCAAGAAAATCCAGGCATTAAATATTTTTAAACCCGTTTTAATGTTATTTTGCAGAAAAATAATTGCTTTTTCTAATGAAATCAACCGTAGTTTAATTCGTGCATTTGTTGGCTTGAAACGGCAGACGAAAAGGAACAAAAACACTTATGCATCAACCTATTAGCTATAGAAATCGAAGCTATAGCTAATATAGCTATAGAAATCGAAGCTATATCTAATATTTCTTTGCAGCAATCCCATTTCTCTTTCGATTTGCGTCCCAGTGGCTCGGTGGCCTCGGATTTGGATAAAATGAACGGATCGATGAAAGAGGATGCTCCGTAAGTCGTTTAAAGATTTGCATTTAAAGATAAATTTCAGCCGAGAAGAGGTGCTTTCTCAAGATTTTCTTCGCTGTGCAGAGAGTTGGTGGAATCTGGCCATCACCCAGGCTCCGCTCGCCACGCCATCACTCTCGAAAATCGAGATCGATTATGATAGTGCTGAGACGCCAAAAAGAGTCAGTGATAGCCATAGTAGAAAGTTTTTCTTATAATATAGAAAACTTAAAGTCTTTACATCTTAAAGGCGTCTTAAAGTTGCACAAACCTGAGCCAAAGCATTTCCATCAATCAATCAATCAATCAGTCATCAAATCAAACCAAAAGATCGACTAAATCTTTAAAAATCCTCCGGAAAAAACCAAAATCTTATTTTATATCATTTTTAGGCTTTGGAAATGGTACAAGAAACTGTTGAGAATTGCTTGAAAGCTGTCATTTCCGAGTTTAAAGAACGTGTGCTCGTCGCAGAGTATCGGGAAACCGATCAACGAGATACATCGAATAAACGATACGAGATACATCGAAATCGAGCTCACATTCACTCGTCGTTAGTCGTAAGTTCGAGTTATTGTAGTCAATTGTTTTATAGATTAGATTGAACTTGTTCAACTTGTTACTTTAGTTTTATTGTTGTTAAATTTCTGTTCCAGTACGATGTTGGGATGGAGATCAACTCCGATCAACAGCCAGCACCCGATTTCTTAATGCTCACCGTTGTCAAAGAGGTTTGATTCAGATCTTGATTTAGATCTTGAGTTTGATTCAGATCTTGAGCTTGATTCAGATCTTGATTCAGATCTTGATCTTGATTCAGATCTTGGTCTTGATTCAGATCTTGATTTAGATCTTGAGCTTGATTCAGATCTTGATTCAGATCTTGATCTTGATTCAGATCTTGATCTTGATTCAGATCTTGATCTTGATTCAGATCTTGATCTTGATTCAGCTCTTGGTCTTGATTCAGATCTTGAGCTTGATTCAGCTCTTGGTTTTGATTCAGATCTTGATCTTGATTCAGCTCTTGGTCTTGATTCAGATCTTGAGCTTGATTCAGCTCTTGGTTTTGATTCAGATCTTGATCTTGATTCAGCTCTTGGTCTTGATTCAGATCTTGAGCTTGATTCAGCTCTTGGTTTTGATTCAGATCTTGATCTTGATTCAGATCTTGATCTTGATTCAGATCTTGAACTTGATCTCTTGATACACTAAACTTTTCTTAGATTGCTGAAGAAACGATGCGTTACGGCTTTGAGCCTGAAGGTGATCCACCGGAGGTGTTAAAAGTTTTAGCAAAAGAGGGAGCACGCGAAATGTTTGTACCGGAAATGACTGATTTAGGTGAATATCTATTTTTCATTGATTACTCTAGAATTACTTTGGATTACTGTAGGATGAGATTCTTTTAAGATTTCTATTCTCTATTCTTTATTCTCTATTCTCTAGGCAAATCCTATGATCGAGTGTCGAGTGCGGAAAATCGCTCAGCTTTTGTACCCCGACGTCGACTCTTTTATGCGATTTTTCGGGCAAATAAGGTTTGAAAGAGATTCCGATATGAAAGCAATATTTTATCTAGATTATTTTCGATATAATTTTCTTTCAGCTAACAGTCTTCTTGTACAATTTCAAGCCGGATCTCGCGCGACAAATCTCGGCTCAAATCACTCGTTTAACGCATTGGCATAATGCGAAAAGTCGTTTGATTCGAGAGATCGCATTGCACAAAACTGGATTTCAACATTTCAGTGATAATATCTACAAGGTAAAGAAAAGAAAAGACAGTAAAGAAATTGGGGAAAAAGAGAAAGAGAGAAAGAAAGAAAGAAAGAAAGAAAGAAAGAAAGAGAGACTCCCGAAATGCTCCAAGCCAATTACAGTAACCAGGTAAATGTATCTAAGGCTTAGACTTCTTTATTAGAATTTGACTAGAAATAGAAGATGAAGGTTACAGTACTCTAAGAGGTTACGGTATTCTAAGAGCCTACAGTACTCTAGAAGGTCACGGTACTCTATGGGAAGAAATAATGCCTTTGCAGGATTATCTATAGTATCTACTACAGACAAGAACTACAGTGACAAGAGTAGGCAGGTAGAGGGATAAGACCCTTCCCTGTGGTCACGAAAATCATGTCGGTATAGCTCATTGGTAGACCGTTCGGCTAGTAAGCGAGAAGTCGCGGGTTCGGGGCCTTTTTTGTGGCCTTTTTTGTTTTGGCTCACAAATACCAAATCTCTATAGATTGCTAAACCTGGTCAAGGTTTCAGCTTTCTTTGCCTTGTTTCTTTGATTTTAAATGACATTGAGCTTTAGGCTTCCTAAGGTCTGTAGGGCAAAGAAACAAGGTAAAGGAAGAAGGCAAAGGGAGAAGGTAAAGGAAGAAGGCAAAAAGACAAGGTAAAGGAAGAAGGCAAAGGAAGAAGGCAAAGAAGCAAGGCAAAGGAAAAAGGCAAAGGAAAAAGGCAAAGGAAAAAGGCAAAGAAAAAGGGCAAAGAAAAAGGGCAAAGAAGGACTTACAGATCTTAGAAAGCCTACAGCTCAATGCTATTTAAAATCAATCTTTCCTTTAGAACACCGACAATCCGTACATAGAACAATTGTGGAAACAACCTGAAGAGGTTCTCGCCGAGGAAATGAGCAAACGGGTTTCGGTGAGGGAATTTTCGAACCTTGATTTTTGAGTGTTTTAAGCACAGCGCAGCAGCAGCCGTTAAGCAATCTCGTTAACTGATTTGCTGATAATTTTTTGTAAATTCAAACATAGATTCAAACATAATACAAATGTAAAAATATTTGAAATTCACTTTTTCAGTTTCATTCGCGCACATCAAACATCAATCGATCTCATAATGCTCCAATTCTTGATCGAATCTATCGACAAATAAATCCAGCTTTTCTTGCTCGAAATCAGTATCCCTGCATGTGGAGAGATCAAATTGAACAATTCAAAACGGTAAGTAAAACAGGGAAACGCTACAATACGATAAACTCTACAATACAATACTCTACAATACAATAAACTCTACAATATGATAAACATTACAATACAATACTCTACAATACGATGAACTCTATAATACAATAAACTCTACAATACGGTAAACTCTACAATACGATACTCTACAATACGATACTCTACAATACGATACTCTACAATACGATAAAGCTACAATACGATGAAGTCTACAATACAATAAACTCTACAATACAATAAACTCTACAATACGATAAACATTACAATACAATACTCTACAATACGATAAAGTCTACAATACGATAAAGTCTACAATATGATAAACTCTACAATACTCTACAATACGATAAAGTCTCCAATACAATAAACTCTACAATACGATAAACATTACAATACAATACTCTTCAATTCAATAAACTCTCCAATTCAATAAACTCTCCAATTCAATAAACTCTAAAATTCAATTCCATTCAATTCCAGCTTCGTCAAGACATTTTAACACGGCTTGAAGGTGACAATCTCTTTCATCAAATTCATAAACAATTTCTTGAAAACAACTATCGAGTAACGGTTGGTTTTTTGCCAAAAAACTTTTGCTTAATCTTGAAATCTTCAGGAAGAAAATCTCTCTCAATTGATCGAGGCTTCAAAAGTTGTCCATTTTGTACTCACTCCGATCCTTTTTTCCCCTCATGGCGTAAAAAAGTGGCGCTGATTCGAGCGAATGGAGAAAGCGATTTTTTGGAGAGTGAGGAAGAGGTTGAGAGAGAGGTTTGAAAAGAGTTTTTTCACATTCGTTTAACAATTTCATATCTTGTCTTGTTTTTCATGATAGCTTGTTGTCCTAATGAATAAAAGAACTCAAAAAAATCTAGGTCCACGCGACGATGACTCAGCCAGCATCGCTTCGAATGATGGGTGATCGGAAAGCGTCTGGTGTATCACTAGTCAATGACGAGCTGGGAGCTGGGATGGGGACAAGGACAAGGAGTTATACGTTGAGGTAAAAATATGCTTTAAAGGCCTAAGGTCAAAGTCCAAGCAGATAGTTAAAAGCTAGATCTGGATTTGGTTCAGATCTGCAGATTGTGGCTAGATCTGCAGTAAAGCCAGGCTCAGGATTAGGCTTAGACTCAGGGGTGAGCCTAGGGTCAGGCGGAGGCTTAGGCTTAGGTTCAGCTCAGGCTCAGTGGAGGGCTGAGTCTAAGCCTGAGTCTAAGCCTGAGACTGAGCCTGAGCCAAGTATAGGACTGAATCTGGCTTCTGGCCTGGCCTAGTTTGACCTTGGCTTTACCCAGTTCTGAGGTACAGATGCTAGTACTAGTTAAGTACTACTAGATGCTGTAATGCTTTTAAGTACTGTTGAATAATTAAGCTATTAGTATAACTAGTTTATAGTTTATCTAGCCCTTAGCAGTTATGCAGATCACTTTTAGTCGATACTGTACGTATAATCCTATCTACAGTACCTAGAAGCTAGTAGAAGAAGCTAGAAGCTGTACGGTAACAAAGCCGATAGTTTCCTAGATAATCTGTTTTAGGGTTTACTGTAGATTGAGTTCAGGACTGTTGTACAGTGCTGAACAACAACTGTACAAGAATTGAACTGTTGTACAGTGCTGAACAACAACTGTACAAGAATTGTACTGTTGTACAGTGCTGAACAACAATTGTACAACAATTGTACTGTTGTACAGTGCTGAACAAGAATTGTACTGTTGTACAGTGCTGAACAACAATTGTACAATAATTGTATAACAATTGTACAGCAATTGTACATTTCAATAAGTACAGTACAATGTTTTGTAAACTACAAAGTCTAAGACTCATTTTATCTTTAACAAATTTCAATTTTCATTCAAAAAAACCCTCTACTCTCAATGATTTTTTTCTCAAAATCTCTAATCATTTTTGTTTTTTGTTAACGTTGTATTGAACTGTTGTACAGTGCTGAACAACAATTGTACAACAAAAATTGTACAACAACAATTGTACAACAACAATTGTACAACAACAATTGTACAACAACAATTGTACAACAACAATTGTACAACAACAATTGTACAACAACAATTGTACAACAACAATTGTACAACAACAATTGTACAACAATTGTTGTTCAGCATTACTTTCTAAATTCTTTCTTTTTGGTAAGTAAATTTAACTAGAATTTAAGTTAGCATGTAAATTTGGGATTAAAAAAAACTCGTTCGTTAAAGTGGTCGAAGTCAAAAGGAGCATCGAGCAAGGAGTAGCACGATGAGGTGAGGGGAAAGAGAATCACGATTACTCGACGAGAGTACTCGGAACCTCTACTTTGTGCCCCTTTAAAAACACAACCTTTCTATTGCACTGAATTCGATTTTCTACTTTCCTTTAGAAAATGGTTAAATGGAAAAAATGGAAAATTAAGTGCTCTAGAAATGGTGTGTTTGTGGGAGAGCAAAGCACACTTTCATGTTGTATTGAATCGAATACTGGGTCACTTTTTTAAATGCCTTTTTCTAAAATGCATCTATTGAGGTGAAATTTTTTGAATCATAAGATTATTTTGAAGTAATCTATCGTAATCTATCGTAATCTAACCGCTATTTTTCATTTGATCAGCACAATTTGATCAGATTCGATGAGGAATCAAAAGGCTCACAAAGGAATGCACCGAACTGGCCCAAACGATTTCGCTACGCTGTTGAGATGCAAACGCCTATCGAGCATTGGGGAAGCACGATGCATCGTAAATAGAGCATCGCGATGCTCTATTTATTTTTTGACTATTCTCAATGGTTGACAAGAAAAACGCTTGCAAAGTTTGGGCGCCTAATCGGAAAATCGAACCTCGAATATAGGCTCTTTTCGAAAAATCGAATAGAGGCTCTCTTCCTTCGTTTAAAGTGTGATCGGATGGTGTCGAGGTAAGTGTCGCGCTCAATCTAAACTCTGCTTTCTTTCACCCTGGTTCGGATCCGGTCTCGACTCGACACCATCCGATCACGCTTGAAGTGAAGGAAAAGTGCCTATATATCGCGATTTTCCGAATAGGCGCCCAAACTTTGCAAGAGTTTTTCCTGTGTGAACCATTGAGAATGGGGAAAAAGAATAAATAGAGCATCGTGCTTCCCCAATCCCAATGCTCGATAGGCGTTTGCATCTCAACGACGTAGCGAAATCATTCGGCCAGTTCGGAGCATTTCCTTTTCATTTAATAAGACAAAAATTGGACTAATCGAATGGAAATTGGCGCTTTGAGTACAATTTCTCAAAAATTTCTCAAAAATTGTTGTTTTTTTTCCAAAAACAAAACTTTCCAAGTACTTTTCATCAAAAATTTTGTAGCAAGAATGCGTAGAAAGTGAATGAATGAGCTAAAAGAGATTCAAAAGAGATTCAAAAGAGATTGGCTTTTCCCCTCCTGCATGAATGATCAATTTTCTTTCTGATTTCCTGGTGCTTTGTGGAGATTTTCTCATAAATCAAGTTTTAAAGTGTTCTATATAGAAAACTATTGTTCTAGTAATGTAAGAAAAAAGGCTAACAGCTAAATTGCTTTAAAATCCCCTTGTCTTAGTCAATTGTTCAGTCTCGTTTCCTCAGCAACTACAGAAACCCAATCTAACTCTATTTTTGATTTGTTTCTTGGAGAAATCATGAAAAATACAATAGGAAATAGATTGGAGAACTAAAGGTTATGGTAGTTTGGAAGTTATAGAGTGTTATAGAGTGTTATGGAGTGTTTTAGAATGCTATAGAGTCTTATAGAATGCTATAGAGTCTTATAGAATGCTATAGAGTGTTATAGAGTGTTATAGAGTGTTATAGAGTGTTATAGAGTGTTATAGAGTGTTATAGAATGTTATAGAGTGTTATAGAGTGTTATAGAGTGTTATAGAGTGTTATAGAATGCTATAGAATGCTATAGAATGCTATAGAATGCTATAGAATGCTATAGAGTGCTATAGAATGCTATAGAATGCTATAGAAAACGTTTTCATAAACTTAGTAGAATGAAAAACTCCAAAAGGAATCGAACCCCTGACTCTTCGCTTGGTAAACCATTGCACTAACCACTAGACCATCGAACCATGTTGACGAGCCCTTTGAAAACGCGTTAAGACTAGAAAGCGATTATTTAGCAAGACTATTTGGCAAGGTTATATAACAAAAACTTGTAAGCCAGGTTTAGTGTGTTTACAATGATCATAAGCAGCTGATTTTTACATCATTCGACTCGTCTTTCGAAGCTCTACAAGATTTGCTATACCAGGATTTGCTTGGAAGCTTGGAAAGATTCTCCGCTCTCCAAGAACTCCAAAGAGCTTCAACCGGTTCCTTGTTGAAGGAAGGCAATCGGTTTACAATCGGTTTATCGTTTAATCTCCTATAAGAATCCTCTCACTCCCCACAAAGCACTCAATCACCAATTTCTGAAACCCACTTCACAGCCGCTTTCTTTCAAAAACTTGATCACAACTATTTCCATCACTTCTCCCATCTTTTCGGTTCTATTTTTCATTTCACCGCTTCTACTAACAACTTTCCTTAGTTTAACTTTAAAAAAGAATACTGTCATCAGTTTAAAACAGTATTAAAAGTTATTAAAAGTGATTAAAAGGTAGATTTCTAGTGTTCCTGCATCGGCTTCAAAAGATGATCTCGATCTCCCGTCATTGTCAAATGATTTGTCTGAATCTTGGAATATTCATGTAAGAGTTTAATAGAAGCTTAACGACTTTAATCTTAACGACTTTAATCTTAGCTACTTTAATCTTAACTACTTTAAGCTTAACTACTTTAATCTTAGCTACTTTAAGCTTAACTACTTTAAACTTAACGACTTTAAGCTTAACTACTTTAAACTTAACTACTTTAAGCTTAACTACTTTAAACTTAACTACTTTAAGCTTAACTACTTTAAGCTTAACTACTTTATTTTCTTAATCTTTTTTATTTCAGATTCTCTACCGTTTACTTAAAGAGTATGTGGACTTTTTGAAGAAAATTCATGGAGTTGAAATCATCGCTGTCACTTCACCAGGCTCTATGTGGGTTTTGAGTTTTAAAATTTAAAATTCTATCCTTTTTTATAAGATTTTTTAGCTAATCAAAGCAAAGTAGACTTTAACTCTGTTTTAGTTCAGCTTTAGTTCAGCTTTAGTTCTGTTTTAGTCTATCGAACTTGACTTGAACAGCTTGATCTACAAGGACAAATAGGACAAATCTATCTATTAGGAGAGATATTAGGAGAGATATTAATAGAGAAATTAGTAGAGATATTAGTAGAGATATTTAGATAATATTCATTTATTTGTTAGTAGAAAATAGGTTTATTTCTAAAGGTTAGAGCTTTCAAAGCTTTCCAAGATTCCAGGCTTCCAAGATTCCAAGCTTCCAAGCTTTCAAAGCTTTCCAAGATTCCAGGCTTCCAAGCTTTCAAAGCTTTCCAAGATTCCAGGCTTCCAAGATTCCAAGCTTCCAAGCTTTCAAAGCTTTCAAAGCTTTCCAATCTTTCCAAACTTTCCAATCTTTCCAAACTTTCCAATCTTTCCAAACTTTCCAATCATTCCAATCTTTCCAATCTTGCAGAGCTTCCACCAGACGAGCCTATCAGCTAAACTACGAAGAGAAGAAAACCGTCCATCCGCCAGAGGTTTAAAAATTTTTTAGCTATTATATTTGTTATAGAAAGCTTACATTTACATTTACATTACTCTTTAGCTATCTTAGCAATACATCTTATTAATACATCTTATCAATACATCTTATTAATACATCTTATCAATTCCCATTTTCAGATCTGGTTATGCAAAGGTATCTCTGGTGGGATTATCCTTCTCCATCTCCATTTTCAATCACCATATTTTGTTCTTGACATGCACACATGGGAAGACACTCCAATATGTTTCAAAGCAGAGGTTTGCTTTACTTCTAGCTTTCAAATTTTCATCAATCCAACAAATTTATTATTCAATGAGATCTTAAACAGAGAAAACTATATTTACTAAATAGAGAAAACGATATTTACAAAAAAATTGACAAAGTTAAATGATTTCCAACAAAGCTGATGATATGAAAGATCTGAAAATTTGCATTTCTATTGAGCTTGATCTAGTAGATAAAGTAGTAGCTTGGTCTCCATATCTTTTGGTCCTTCGGGTGTACTTTCTGCTCAAATCGCACCCTTTCTGGCGCATTCAATCTACAGTTTTCTTCCTGTAGCTGCTTAGTGTTGAAATGAAGAATTTTAAAGGCGATTTGAGCGTTTTTGCTTAAAAAACTAGACATGGGCTAAAAAAACGATGACCTATCACTTTACAAACGCTTCTAATTTGTTTCAAATCTACCGGATTCAAATGATCTATAGCTCAAAAAATAGAGAATCCGAAGAGCTTTCGAATGGATCAAAGTACATCGAAAAATATAAATTCTAAAGAAAGTTACAGTAGTTTGCAGGGGAATGGATCGTACTCTCGCGTAGTCGAAGCTATCTTAACTGTAACTTTCTTTAGAATTGATCTTTTTCGATGTGCTTTAGTTCATTCGAAAGCTCTTGATATTCTCTATTTTTTAAGCTATAGATCATTTGAATTCAACAGATTTGAAGCAAGTTAAAAGCGTTTATAGTTTAGGTTTGTATTTTAGCGTTTGTAGTTTGTTTTTAGGCATTTTTCTAGTTCTTAGTTTATAGTGGCCATGTCTACAAAGTCAAGCTGTAATTCCAAAGTTAAACCATCACCTAGTTCACGGTTTTCACAGCGAAAACCCTTTGTCTCAATGCTTTGGCTCTCGGAGCAGGATAGAGGCCATCGGATGAATAAAGCGGTGAATTCGAGGGTTGTGCTGCGTTCACCTCATCTTCATAGCTAGTCTAAACGATCTTTTTCTTCATCCCATCACAAATCTTAGCTTCGTAAACAAGTTTTGACGACTTTTCCTTGTAAATAAGCTTAGAAATGACCGTCAAATGATCTATGTTAAGTGATCTACGTTAGTTGATCCACGTTAATTGATCTACGTTAACTGATCTACGTTAAGTGATCTACGTTAAGTGATCTACGTTAACTGATCTACGTTAAGTGATCTACGTTAATTGATCTACGTCAATTGATCGAATTTCCTCCATATAGAAGCTGTTTCGCATTCGTTTTTCTATGATTTCAAGTCAATTTTAGTTCAATTTTCAAAATGAATTCAAGGAAAAAACTAGTTTTTCGCAAAATTTGATAAAAAGTCTTGAAAAGAAACTGGTTAAATCTTTAAAAAGTACTGAAGTACAAGAACTACAGTAACGAATAACAAGTCCACTTTACAATTGACTTACTGATTGTGGTGACGGTTGATAGCTAGCAGGAGCTGGAGCTGGAGCAGGAGCTGCAGCTTCATAGGCACTTGGTGCAGGGTTGACGGGCTAAAATGACAATAAAGTACCTGATTTCCTTGTCCCGAACCTCTTAATACCGTAATTAAAGTCGAGTTTCTAATTCCCAAATACTGTCACTATAAAACCAATGAGATTATTGGTTATTACCTCTTGCGGAATTGGAGGAGACAATGCAGCTTGATAACTCGGCTAAAATTTTCGTTCAAACTCTAGATTTTGATTCATTTAATCTACAAATGAATGGCTAAACAGAATTTAGATTTCAATATTGATTCTAGAACCTGTACTGGCCGTGATGGTGGGATTAGCGGAGCCTGGTAGTTGCTAGGAGGCTGATCATAAGCCTAAAATTTAGTGATATCATTAGATAAATAGATTAAGAATAGAGCTTTAGATCTTGATCTCTAGATTTCCAAGGCTTATTATCAGCCTCTTGAAGATTTAAAACCTGTGGTGGTGGGAGTGGCGGAGCTTCATAGTTGCTAGCATGAGGCTGGTATGAAGGCTGTGAAGGCTAAAAACACTAGATTAGCTAGCTTATCAGCGTCAAAATGTTATCTAGATAGATCAGAAGATTTCGATTTCAGCTTAGAACTTCAAAAATTGACTACTTGAGGCATTGGAGGCAGATAAGCGCTCGGTTGTGGCTGAGGCTGAGGCTAAAAACAGATCAAATCTTTCTCTTGTCAAAACGAACCATTGCTGGCGGTGGAATTGGTTGAGCTTGGGGATATTGTGGTTGATAGGATGGTTGAGAATAGCTGAAAGAACTACTTGCTGCTGATTTCTAAGTACAAACCTTTGTCCAAACCCTTGCTCGTCATCGGGTAGTACAATGGAGCCCGGTGGTGGCATGTCGACAACAGAGCCGATTCCTCCACCCTGTATAGGCTTGTTACCTAGTCTACTTAGGTCTAGTACTAAGTCTAGTACTAGGTCTAGTACTAAGTCTAGTACCAAGCCTAGTACCAAGCCTGGCACCAAGCCTAGTATCAAGCCTAGCACCAAGCCTAGGATCAAGCCTAGTACCAAGCTTAGTATCAGATCGAGTCTAATACCAGCCCAAGTAGTAAAGGCCGTACCTAAGCCTAATATCAGTCTAGACCTAGTAGCACTTCAGGCCCAGTAACACGTACTTAGTACTGGATCAAGCCTAGGCTTGGCCAGATCAAGCTTCTAGCCTAGCTAGCCCAAGCCTACGCCTCGCCAGATCAAGCTTCTAGCCTAGCCTAGCCTAGCCTAGGCTTAGCCTGCGCCTCAGCTCAAGCCTAGCTAGTCCAAGCCTAATCCCAGCCGGCTTAGATCAACTCAAGACAAGATTGTCAACAGTTTGATCTGGATTATCGATTCACCTGTGGGTATCCCTGTCCTCCACTAAAATATGATCCACCGCCGAACTGTTGTCCACCGCCGAACTGTTGTCCACTGTTGAACTGTTGTCCACTGTTGAACTGTTGTCCACCGCCGAACTGTTGTCCACCGCCGAACTGTTGTCCACCGCCGAACTGTTGTCCACTGTTGAACTGTTGTCCACCGCTGAACATCGACTGTCCCATTCCCATTCCTCCACCACAACATAGCGGTGTTTGGCTTAAATATTAGCAAATAACAATCAGGATTTGAAAATTCATCATTTCAATACCCAAAGAATAAACCAAACGTTTCCAAAACGCACACTTTCTGGCACGTCGGTTCACTTACGCAACAAGCTTTCTTAGGTCAGTTCTATCATAAATTTGGATCTAGGATTTTATTTTTTCATTGGAAACACATAAATTTTCAACTTCTTAAAGAGAAGACCCGATTTTTACCTTCTTTTTCTTTTTGCATAGATCATTTGAAATATTTGAAAAATACATTCCAAGATCTTTCCCCATTTCATTTCAAATTCTTTTCCCTTTTCCGTTCCTTTCCTTTTCTTTTCTTTCCTTTTCTTTTCTCCTTTTCTTTCTTTCCTTCCTTTTCTTTTCTTTTCTTTTCTTTTCTTTTCTTTCCTTTTCTTTTCTCAAAACTCGTTCTCGAGTTTGTTTTCTTGCCACGTCATGTCAAGAACTTTTGACGTACCTACACATTTTTTTTCTCTTCAATTTTCAGCAGAAACTCCGCAAAAAGTATCTAATTCGATGAGCAAACTCGTTTAGCAAAATTTTACAAATTTAAGGTTTTTTTTTTGAGAACTTGCGAAATCTTAATGGAAAATCTGAATGGAATTACTTTAGTTTAGTTTAGTTAAACATTAAACAAAAAGCATTAATAGAAAAGCAATTGATAAGCAAAAGAAAAGCAAAAAGCAATTGATAGAAAATATCTTAACAACTTAGAAAAAAAAAGTTATTAATAACTTTTCTTTAAACTTTAAACTTTACAATTACTTATTGAGTAAATATCAAGCAGTCTACTCTTGTGTGTTAGAATGGGTGTGTTTCTATAGCTTGTTTCAATTGTTCGTTGTAATTTTGTGCTCAAAATGAGAATATACCCCTTTCTAATGCATTTGGTGCACCAGAAAGGCTGCGTTTTCGTTTGCTGAGTGTACCAGAAAGGCTGGGTATAATTTTTTTTCAATTTTTGGTTCTGTTTTTTTTAAAATTTTTTTAATTTGTAGCAAAACTCATAAAAAATTTACGCTTTCACCTCAAAGAAAGAAAGTTTATAGATTTGTTTATAGGATCGCTGTAGCATTATGTGACAATTGTACAATTGTACAACTCTGTGCTACAATGCTGAAATTGTACAACAATTGTACATGAGCTTGAGCTACAACTGTACAACAATTGTACATGAGCTTGAGCTACAATTGTACAACAATTGTACATGAGCTTGAGCTACAATTGTACATGAGCTTGAGCTACAATTGTACATGAGCCTGAACTACAATTGTACACAAGCCTGAGCTACAATTGTACACAAGCCTGAGCTACAATTGTACATGAGCTTGAGCTACAATTGTACACAAGCTTGAGCTACAATTGTACATGAGCTTGAGCTACAATTGTACACAAGCCTGAGCTACAATTGTACATGAGCTTGAGCTACAATTGTACACAAGCTTGAGCACAATGAGCTTGGCTACAATGACAGGCTTGTTGTACATGGCTTGAGCTACAATTGTCACAGCTTGAGCTACAATTGTACACAAGCTGGCTACAATTGTCACAAGCTTGGCAATTGTACACAAGTTGGCTACAATTGTACACAAGCTTGAGCTACAATTGTACACAAGCTGAGCTACAATTGTACACAAGCTTGAGCTACAATTGTACACAAGCTTGAGCTACAATTGTACATGAGCCTAAGCTACAATTGTACATGAGCCTGAGCTACAATTGTACATCTCTACAATTGTACAACAATTGTACATCTCTAGCTAAAATTTAACAAAAAATATCTAAAGATTAGTAGAAGTTTGAGGGAAATTTTGTCACATTCAATGCACCAAAAGGGGCTCGTTTAAGCAATAATTAAGCTTAAAGTCCTTTTAAGAAACACTCACTCGAAAAGATTCCAAAACATTGCATCAGTCATTCGAAAAACAATCAACAATAAGAATGCCAGCATTTTGTTGAGATTTTCAAAAATGAAATCCTCGGTATCATTTGGATATTTAAACTCTTTTCCCTCGATTCAACAACAATGAAAATCTCAATTTTTTCGAGAAAAGCTGACCTTTTTTGCTTTTTTTGAGAAATTTCTTCTTTTTCCAGTGAGATTTTCAAAAAAATCTCTATGATTTCTTAGGATTTTTTGAGATTTTCGTATGAGTAAACTAATCGGCGAATGTTTTTTAAACAATGGCATTTTGTGAAATGAGGGAAAAGGACGGGAAAACCCTCTTAGAATGAAGATTTTTATGAGATGAGTCAGACAAAGAGACAAGAGATATTTTGAGAATTTTAGCAATGACTTTAGCAATGACTTGATGAACTTCTTTTCACTTTAAACTGCTTTTATTAGGTTTTAAACGAAGACTTTCTTACTAAATTGCTTAGATCTCAGCTTTCAATCAATAGCTTTGAATGAGATTTGAGAAATTAAAAGCTTAATGCTTAAGCAAAGTTATTAAACGATTAGCGAAGTGCGTAAATTAGCTCCAGACCAAGCTGGGTCGATTGAATCATAAGGGAGATCCTGAATCAGACTAAGATTTGATCAATTGCTTGCTGAAAAAGCTTGCTCAGGCTCAAGCTTGCTCAAGCTTGCTCAAGCTCAAGCTTGCTCAAGCTCAAGCTTGCTCAAGCTCAAGCTTGCTCAAGCTCAAGCTTGCTCAAGCTCAAGCTTGCTCAAGCTCAAGCTTGCTCAAGCTCAAGCTTGCTCAAGCTCAAGCTTGCTCAAGCTCAAGCTTGCTCAAGCTCAAGCTTGCTCAAGCTTGCTCAAGCTTGCTCAAGCTCAAGCTTGCTCAGGCTCAAGCTTGCTCAAGCTCAAGCTTGCTCAAGCTCAAGCTTGCTCAAGCTCAAGCTTGCTCAAGCTCAAGCTTGCTCAAGCTAAACCAAACTAAAGCCAGTGCTAGAACAGGCAAGAACAAGTGAAACAATAGTAGATTTTCAATTAAATCTTTTTCCTTTGGTAATAAGCTTTTAAGGCATTAAGCTTTTAAGGTTTTCAGAATAATCCCTTTCAAATCTCATTCAAATCCCTTTCAAATCTATTTATTCAAAGCTGAGATATTAGCAATTTAAGAAAGGAAAAAGATTTAGTTAAAAATCTACTATTTTTTCACTTGTTCTTGCTCGTTCTAGCACTGGCTTTAGTTTGGTTTAGCTTGAGCAAGCTTCAGCAAGCTTCAGCAAGCTTTCAGCAAACTTCAGCAAGCTCCAGCAAGCTTTAGCAAGCTTCAGCAAGCTTTTTTTGATCACTCTTAGTCTATTTCAGAATCTCCCTTATGATTTAATCGGCCAAGCTTAGATCTAGCTGAGGCACAATCAACCTTATCAGTTGCAACAATCAATCTTATAAGTTTAAACATTAAAAACTAGAACTCTGATCTTTTTCTATTTTGCAGATAAATCAGTTAAGTGTGACGTTGGAGACCTTGAAAAAAAGAAAAAAAAGAGAAGAACTTTCAATTTTCTCAAAAAAATCAAGAACCAGTTGGGGAAAACAAAATAAGCAGGGAACATGTTGGAGAAGAGATCTCTTATCTCTCACTGGATCGATCTAGTTGGGATAAGTTCTCTTGGATTTTAGGAAAAGACAAGAGTCAAGTTAGTTGCGATCACGCGCAGTACGTGTCAATGAGAAGGTTGGTATTCGTTGAAAAGTGAAATTGCAAGTGACTTTGCTTTGCTGGTGTCTGCATATGGATTTAAAGTTGGGAATAATGTAGATACTTTCTGGTGTTAAGGCATTAAGCTCTCATTTTGGCATTAAGCTTTTAAGGCATTAAGCTTTTAAGGTTTTGAGAATAATCTCCTTCAAATCTCTTTCAAATCCCTTTCAAATCCTTTTCTGGTGTTAAGATATTAAGCTATCATTGATTGTAATCATCTTCGATCATTCTTTTCATCATAAGCAATTCTTTTTTGTTTTTAAGAACATCTAAATTATTTTAATAGATGTAAAATTAGTTAAATAATTCAAATGCTTAATGGTATTGGGTTTTCATAGATCACTTGAGATTGAAATGATTTGGATTGGTTTTGGATTAGTTTTGGATTGGTTTTGGATTAGTTTTAGATTTGCTTTCGTTTAACTAGCTTTACAACAATTCAACAACAACAAACAACAACAAACAACAACAAGCAACAACAAACAACAACAAGCAACAACAAGCAACAACAAACAACAACAAGCAACAACAAACAACAACAAGCAACAACAAACAACAACAAGCAACAACAAACAACAACAAGCAACAACAAGCAACAACAAACAACAACAAGCAACAACAAACAACAACAAGCAACAACAAACAACAACAAGCAACAACAAACAACAACAAGCAACAACAAACAACAACAAGCAACAACAATACAACAACAATACAACAACAATGCAACAACAATACAACAACAAACAACAACAATACAACAACAATACAACAACAATACAACAACAATACAACAACAATACAACAACAAACAACAAGTCTGTTTTTGAAAAGTTTAATGAAAAGTGTTAATTTGAGGCTTTCAAGTTGAGTTTTGTCTTCGAAAAGTATCATTTTTGGAAAGGCAAAGTAGGAAAAGTGTTTCAAAAAAGTTGATGAATCTCTAAAGTTAACGAAAAGCTTTGTTATTGGCACTTTACCTGATAGTGAGAACTTTTAACTTAGCATTCTAAGCCTCTAACATCCTGTGGCTTAAGGTCTAGAGGCCTGGGAACATTGAGCAAAGATTCGTTGATTAAAATCGACCATATTCTGCGTAGATTTAGGTGACTAAAACTCGGGAATCAAAGTCAAAAGCTTTACTTGTCTTCGTCGAAAGCTTTATTTGAAGTTGAATCGAGTGAATGTTTGTAAATGTAAATGTTTGTAAATCATTATAAATTCAGTGAATCATTTTATTGTACCCATAAAGTAAAGCAAGCAAAATGAATTTTTAAAAAACGCTAATCATCACCTAAACAAAAGAAAAACCTGAGTTTGAAAATCCACAAGGCAGGAGAAAGCTTTCAAAAGGATAAAAGGATAAAAGTTAAAGTTAAAAGCTAGAGAAAAGTTAAATTTAAATATTTACAACAAAATGAATGAATGATGAATGAATCTTAATGAATTAATCAAAAGAAATCTTTTCATATCAATACTTTTTAAAGATTGTCAATTGGAGAGAGACGGAAATGTCTTGCGGGAATGTAGTGACCGTCGGGGTGACCAATGTTAGCACCAATTGAATTGTCTTGAGCAAAAGAGGCAGCTGGTGGGGGTGATGGAGGGAAAACAGGTTGAGATTGAGATGGCGGCATAGCTGATGGAGGTTGGGGACCCTGGCTGTACGATGATGGCTGGGATGAGGCTATTGGAGCGGCCGGTTGTTGAGGCATACCTGAAATTTTGATTTAACCTTCTGAGGTAACCTTTTAAGTTAACCAACAAGTTAATCAACAAGTTAACCAACAAGTTAACCAACAAGCGTAACAAAAGCAAGTACCAATAAGGCCAACAGACAACAGTAATTAAAGTTAATCAAAACAACAAGTTAACCAACAAGTTAACCAACAAGTTAACCAACAAGTTAATCAACAAATTAACCAACAAATTAACCAACAAGTTAACTAACAAGTTAACCAACAAGTTAATCAATAAGTTAATCAACAAGTTAATCTAACAAGTTAACCAACAAGTTAACTAACAAGTTAACCTTTTAACCTCTACAGTCGACCTTTTAACTTCTACAGGTTTCACGATATTAACGATACAAACGGCAAGCTTATTTTTAACCGTTCAGATCTTTGTTTCTAGAACAGCTACTGCAAATTGTATTCATTGGAAAGTCAAGAATGTCAGCTTGTAATATCCACGCAATGTTATGAGGCAAAAGGTTAAGCCCTGCTCATAATTGGTGTGCGTTTTGAGCCAACAGCTTTACGTGGATATTAGATTTTCAGTTAATTTTGGTATCATTTGACGCGCAATTTTATCCTGCAACGAATGATAGTTAAAATGGTCAAAATCAAAGGGTTGTTGCTGAGAAACCTTTAATTGCCAACGGAAAAAAAAGGATCAACAAATGTTACAAGTCTATTGTACAGCCACTACAGTAATAATGAGTTGCTTGTGCGTCTTGAGCCGTTTGCTAAACGATGCCCCCAGTACCGTAGTTTTCTACGCCTCCAATTGTCGGTTTAAGTCTTGACTTGTACTGAATTGCCTGTACTCATCGATTGAATCATTTTCTAAACTAAACAGTGCACCCACTAGTCCCCTAAGCCAGTACAGTGCTCCGTACCTAAGCCAGTACCCTACTCCGTACCTAAGCCAGTACCCTACTCCGTACCTAAGCCAGTACCCTACTCCGTACCTAAGCCAGTACCCTACTCCGTACCTAAGCCAGTACCCTACTCCTTACCTAAGCCAGTACCCTACTCCGTACCTAAGCCAGTACTGTACTCACCTCTTAGCCTTTTAGACACCTTATATCAAACCTATCCTTGTCCTCCTGTCCTCTGAACTCACCCATTGGCTGAATGACATATCCAGTTGATGGTGGAGGAGCGGGCACCATTTGATACGTGGGAATGGGTCCTTGCTGTGGATTGTACAATCCTTGCATCGTTCCCGTCACTCCCAATTGTTGAGCCGATTGAATTGGTCCATAGCTGCTAGGTGGGGGTCCTTGGCGCAAATATCCGACTTGTGGCTGTCCGCCGAATCCTTGGCTTTGTTGAGCGGCTCCGAAACCGCCACTGAAATAACGATATTGGAATTTTAGGAAAGTTTCGGATTTGGATTCGGATTTGGATTCAGATTCGGATTCGGATTTGTTTGAGTGTTCTTTGTGCTCAGAAATCTAAGCATATCCTTTCTGGCATACTCAATTCTTCTTTCTTACAACATTTCGTGTAGAAAAGGAGGAATCCAGTGCATTAGAAGATGTGCGTTTAGTAAGATTTGGTTGTAAGCGTAGAGAACGGCTTTTTAAAGTACTGGATTAGCTTTTTAAAAGTACTGAGTTATTGAGTTATAGAGTTTCTTTATGAAAGTAATGTAAATTGTTTAAAATATTGAAAAAGCAAACCCAAAATGTGCGGCGCTTGTTCCAATCAAAACGAGCAAAAGACCAAAATCCATCATTTGGCAAAATCAAAGCGAATCTCAGCTCGACAACTGAATATCTCTAAATGAGTTGACTCCAAATAAATACTCTTCAAATCTTGACCTTGGCATTTCTCTATTTCTCTCCTTTTTCTAGCTAATTCCTTCATTTTCTCTTCATCATTTTCCGTTCTTTTTTTTCTTCTCTTCTTCTTCTTTTTCTTTTCTTTTTTTCTTTTCCACTCTTTGATCACCAAAAAAACAAGTAAACAAAATAGCAAAGTTCTAAAAAAATAGATTTAAGATTTATTTAATATTTATTTAATATTTAAAAAGATAAAAGGATTATTGGGGATTTAGGGAAGATTTCTTTTTTTGATTGATTGGTGGATTGATTGATTGGTGGTGGTTGATTGATTGGTTGGTTGGTGGTGAGTGATGAATTGGTGGTGATTGGTGTTGGTTGTTGATTGATTGATTGGTGATTGGATTAATTGGTTGATGAATTAATTGGTGGTTGATTGATTAGTTAATTGATTGATTGATTGGTGAATTGATTGGTGGTGGTGATTGAATTGAGTGATTGATTGGTTGATTGATTGAATTAATTGATTAATTGGTAATTGATTGATTGATTCTTTTTTGCATTGAACAACTTGATCGTTTAATCTTTACAGCAATTCAAAAAGTCGATTAAAAACTTGATTTTTTACTTTGTTATTTGGACAGATTCCGAAATTGGGGATATTTCTAGATTCATTGACAAATGTAAAAGTATCTGCATTTCAACTTTATTTCATCAAATTCCCATTCAGATCGATGTACCCGAGTCGATCCGTGGCCGTTCGAGTGAAATGTCTTCGACGGTGGCTCGTCTCCTCACCGGTCTTCATTTCCACTCATTCACTTACGATTTTCATCTACGAATGTTAGCGAATTTTTTGAGTGGACGAGATGCGGTAAAGGAGTTTAAAAAATTGATTTGAAATGATTTGAAACTGGCTCATTTGCGCAACTAGATCTTTTGCTCAGCTGGATCTTTGCCAGCTGGATCTGTCAGCTGGATTGTTCAGCTGGATGCAGTGGATTGTTCAGTGGATTGCCAGCTGGACTGTTCAGCTGGATCTTTTGTTCAGCTGGATCTTTTGCTCAGCTGGATCTTTTGCTCAGCTGGATCATTTGCGCAACTGGATCATTTGCTCAACTAGATCATTTGCTCAACTGGATCTTTTGCGCAACTGGATCATTTGCTCAACTAGATCTTTTGCGCAGCTGGATCTTTTGCTCAACTGGCTCATTTGCGCAACTAGCTTTTTGCCCAACTCACCATAACTTTCTTCTAAGTCGGCCAATGTTTATGATTTTGGTTTCATTTTGTAGATCTCAATAAGTGCAACAAAATGAAACCAAAATCATAAAGATTGACCAACCTAGAAAAAAGTTATGACGAGTTACGCAAAAGACCTATGTTTAGAGTTGTTCAGCTTTGTTTTAGCAGAAAGAAAATGCGTTTGAGATTCGTTTTAATATCAAAATAATGACTTTTTAATGAAAAAAAAATCGTAGTTCTATTGGTGAATTTGTTTTTTTTCAAAAGAATGTACAAAAAGAAATGAACAGACTTTCTGAATAGCTTAATATTCTAGAGTTTATTAGACATGGACTTTCAAATCTTTCTTTCTTTTCTTTTGTGTACTTTGAGCGACTCTAAACACATCTTTCTGGCATACGATTATTGTTAGATTGATTGTTTGATTGATTTTTTTCAAATTAATCTTTCACTTTACAGGAGTTTTTTAAAAGTGGATATGATACAAATGCTTTTCTTGCTGATTTCCTTCAATATTATGGATGTCGACCAGCTTATGCTCAGAATTGTGTTTATGAAGGTTTGTTTATAAAAGTCTTTCTTTCTTTCTTCTTCCTCTTGTCTTTCTTTCTTTCTTCTTTCTCTTGTCTTTCTTTCTTTCTTCTTTCTCTTGTCTTTCTTTCTTTTTCTGGAGAAAGTAAGGTACTGAATAGCTTAATGGTTAGAGTAATTGTCTGGAAAGGAAAGGAAGAAGAAAAGGAAGAAGGAAAAGGCAAGGATGCAACCCTCTCTTCTCCTCTTGTCTCTTCTTTCTTGAGAAAGGAAAGGAATGGAAGAGGATAAGCGAATGGATGAAAAGGAAAGGAATGATGCTGAAAGAGGGAAGAAGGAAAGGGAAGGAAAGGAAAGGAGAAGGAAAGGAAGAAGGAAAAGGAATGGAATGGAAAGGAAAGGAAAGGAAAAGGAAAAAGAAAGGAAGAAGGAAAAGGAATGGAATGGAAAGGAAAGGAAAAGGAAAAGGAAAGGAAAGGAAAGGAAGAAGGAAAGGGAAAGGAGAAGGAAAGGAAAGGAAGAAGGAAAGGAAGGAAGGAAAGGAGAGGAGAAAGGAAAGGAAGAGGAGAAAGGAAAGGAAAGGAAAGAAGGAAGAAGGAAAAGGAAAGGAAAGGAAAAGGGAAAGGAAAGGAAGGAAGGGAAGAAGGAAAGGAAGAAGGAAAGGAAAGGAAAGGAAGAAGGAAAAGGAATGGAATGGAAAGGAAAGGAAAGGAAGAAGGAAAAGGAATGGAATGGAAAGGAAAGGAAGAAGGAAAAGGAATGGAATGGAAAGGAAAGGAAGAAGGAAAAGGAAAGGAAAGGAAAAGGAAGAAGGAAATTGAATCTCCTCTCTCTCTCTCTCTCGGATTCAATCTCCTCTCTCTCTACTTTTTCTTGTCTACTTTTTCTGATCATTCTTTCATTAAAGTTAACATAATTGTCTAATCTTGAAATCAATTAAAACCAGAAAACACTTTACAAGTAAATCTTTAGAGAGAAATTAGAGAGATCTTTAGAGAGACTTGCTTACAAGCTTGGTTTTGGTGTTCGTGGATTGCTCGCATGGAACAAGTTGGTCGATACGCATACCAATTATGGATGGAAAGCGCTGAGGTTAAAGCAAATTGTGAGCCTATATTTAATATTGTTTCCTGAACAATTGTTCTATTTCAGAGCCACGAGAGTGTGCCACAAAGAGATTATGTTCTAGTCTCTTGCTCTCAAGTTCCATCACTTTCCAATGACAGTCTTTCATTGAGAGCTGTTCTTTATGATATGGAACAATCAATTAAACAAAGCGATTATTTGTTTGTTGTTGTCTACATGATACAAATTATTCCGCCGAATGGTTCGTTTTGACAAGTGTAGACACTGCTTTGTAAACAAGGAACAATGAAAGCATTGGTTACTGTAGAGGAGTTGATTGGTCACTGTAGCTGGTTATTCTAGCTGGTTACTGTAGCTGGTTACTCTAGCTGGTTATTCTAGCTGGTGACTCTAGCTGGTGACTCTGCTGGTATCTGGCTGGTACTCTGCTGGTGACCTAGCTGGTGACTCTAGTGGTGACTCTAGCTGGTTACTCTAGCTGGTTACTCTAGCTGGTGACTCTAGCTGGTGACTCTAGCTGGTGACTCTAGCTGGTGACTCTAGCTGGTTACTCTAGCTGGTTATTCTAGCTGGTGACTCTAGCTGGTTACTCTAGCTGGTTACTCTAGCTGGTGACTCTAGCTGGTGACTCTAGCTGGTGACTCTAGCTGGTTACTCTAGCTGGTGACTCTAGCTGGTGACTCTAGCTGGTGACTCTAGCTGGTGACTCTAGCTGGTGACTCTAGCTGGTTACTCTAGCTGGTTATTCTAGCTGGTGACTCTAGCTGGTGACTCTAGCTGGTGACTCTAGCTGTTTACTCTAGCTGGTGACTCTAGCTGGTTACTCTAGCTACAGTAATTCTTGCTCAAGCTGCTATAGCTAGTAATACTTCTAAAGTTTGACTTTTTGAGACAAAGCTTGTATAGATATATTCTCAGAACCAATCAAACCTCCACCCGTCTTGGCCCTTCAATCATCAAGCCGAGTTCGACACGAATCAGCTCCTATGACTCCACTCTCTGCAATGGTACCATTCGCAAAAGTTGATGTTGAAGCAGAACAAGTAAGGATTAATCTTAGACTAATCTTAGAGTTGAGCTTAGAGTTGAGCTTAAATTTGAGCTTAAATTAGATTCAGAATCAAATACCGTAGCTATCAAATACCGTAGCTATCAAATATCGTAGCTATCAAATACCGTACCTAATCTGAATCCTAGGTGATCGTTGTAGCGGATATTGAGACGGAGAAACTTCAAAAAATCGTCAACTCAGAAGGGTGAGAGAATTTTAGACATTTAGAAATTGTTCATAATGATTTAAAAATCAAGAATTTTTAGTGATGAGACAACAATTGAGGGCCGAAGACGTTTCTCGAGTGGCGGAGTTCTTTCAGCAACTCCACCCGTCGACATTCCGTTACCAAAACAGAGCAATGGTTGATTTTAAAGAACATGTAAACTGTAAATAGTACTGGTACATCCAGACGTACTGTACATAGTACTGGTACATACAGACGTCCTGTACATAGTACTGGTACATACAGACGTACTGTACATAGTACTGGTACATACAGACGTCCTGTACATAGTACTGGTACATCCAGACGTCCTGTACATAGTACTGGTACATACAGACGTCCTGTACATAGTACTGGTACGATTACGTGCTGTACTATGGCAGTAACTTTCAGAAACCGATTCCTTTCGGGAACCAAAAATGCCGATGTTCCCCGTTTCGCCTCGATCGATCCCAAAAGAGCCAATCGTTATGCCAATCGAGTTCGCCATCGAAGCACACAATTTAACCGTTCATTCCACGAGATTCTCCCAGTTATTGCCCGAAGACTCACAATTACCCTTACCGATTGCAAATGTGATCGAAACGAGGAGCATTGATGGAGTTGGAGAAAGAGGAGAAGAAGACGGAGGACACGATGAAGCTGATGGTTATGAAGATGATGGGAGAACCGATGCTGAGAGGGTATCGTGCACTTTTTGCTCCCCAAAACACAACCTTTCTAGTGCACTGAATTCAGTAGTTATTTAATACATAGCCGTAATCGGTGATCTAGAAGCACCGTGATCCTTCTAGGAAAGCTACCGTAACCCCTACTAATCCGTAGTCTTAGTAAGCTGAAATCTACCGTAATCTGTAGCCTGTAGCTGTAGATACTGTAGTACCCCAAGATCTACAGTACTATGCCAGAAAGGGTGCGTTTACGTTGAGCACAAAGTACATTGTTTTTCATGTACAACAGTACGGTTTGCAATTAACATTCTAGAACACAAATCAAACCTGAAACTAATATAATTATCTAGTCATTTGGTAGATTAGGATTCTATAGATTCTATAGATTCTTTAGCTTCTTTAGATTCTTTAGATTCTATAGATTCTTTAGATTCTTTAGATTCTTTAGCTTCTATAGATTCTTTAGCTTCTTTAGATTCTATAGATTCTTTAGCTTCTTTAGATTCCCTAGATTCCTTAGATTCTTTATCTTCTTTAGATTCTTTAGATTCTTTAGCTTCTTTATCTTTTTTATCTTCTTTAGCTTCTTTAGATTCTTTAGATTCTATAGATTTCAATTTAAAAACCATCATTTAGGAGACTGAAATCGATGACAAACCCTCGAGGCGACATCGGCAAGAGAGAGCTGGTTTGGTTTTCAAAAAATAACCTCCCCCTCTTGAGCGTTTCGCTCCATTTTGAGATATTTTATGTTTAATAAATCAAAAGATAGCCCTTAATGTCTTCTATCTTTTGGTATATTAAACATAATAATATCTCAAAATGGGTGAGAAAGCGTCAAAGTTTGAGGGGGGGTTATTAGAGGAAATACGGTAGCTAATATTGAAATTGAAATCAAAAACTATCAAAAACTATCAAAAACCACTTCTTAACTACGATAAAAATGATACTTTTACACGATTTATCCAAAATTTCCCTCCAAAAATCCAAAAAACTTTTCCAGGCGACATTCCTGAGGAGAAATTCGCCTTCTACGTCACTTTTGTAAGCGAAAAACAGAAAATGCTGCAACAGGTGATTCTAAAAAGTGATATATCGATTTATTGAAAACTCTAATTCATTCAGTGGATCGAGGATTCGATGCAAGCTTACAAAAATGATTTGAAACGAGCGGTGGAAGCGGCCGAGAGGCAATGTCGAGTCGAGAAAATTTGGGTCAATGTGGGTCAATTCTTTTAAAAATTTTTTGACTTTATCTACAGCTTTTCTTTTATCTAGATATCTAAATATTACATAGACAAATAGATCTAATAAAGTTGATCTAATAAAGTTGATCTAATAAGGTAGAGTCTAATAAAGTAGAGTCTAATAAAGTAGAGTCTAATAAAGTTGATCTAATAAAGTAGATCTAATAAAGTTGATCTAATAAAGTAGATCTAATAAAGTAGAGTCTAATAAAGTTGATCTAATAAAGTAGATCTAATAAGGTAGATCTAATAAGGTAGATCTAATAAAGTAGATCTAATAAAGTAGATCTAATAAAGTAGATCTAATAAAGTAGATCTAATAAAATTGATCTAATAAGGTAGAGTCTAATAAAGTAGAGTCTAATAAAGTAGATCTAATAAAGTAGATCTAATAAAGTTGATCTAATAAAGTAGATCTAATAAGGTAGAGTCTAATAAAGTAGATCTAATAAAGTGGCTTTAAAAAGTGATTCTATTCGGTTGTCCGGAAATAAATGAGCGCTTTCAACTCGAATATTTAAAATCCCATAACCCATAATGACCAGGATTCTCCCCAACATTCTTGGCTTTTAGAACCACTTTTACAGTAGCTTTTCTTATATTAACTTCATAGAATACTAGAATACTATCTACTAGATAACTATCTACTTAGATAGATCTTTTTCCTTATCTAGATTAAGTTTTTTTTAAAAACTCCTTTATCCAGATCGTTCAACTTCCGCCTCGAACCGGCCTCCAACAGAAACAAGCCATTCAAAAGCTTCTGAATATGACAAAGGATTGGAAGTGAGTAAATGGACTTATAAATCTATGGATAAACTTATAAATCTATTGATAAACTTATAAATCGATAGATAAACTTGTAAATCTATCGATAAACTTATAAATCTATAAGATAAGCTTATAAATCTATCGATAAACTATAAAAATTGAAAATATTTTAGTAAAAATGATCCATGGAAACCGATGGATTATGCATTGCACGACACTGCCGGGCCAGAAGATTTAGAGCTAATGTGCTCATTGGTAACAGCTCTCAGATTGGATGAAAGGTGAGAAAAAGAGAGGAAAAAGAAAGGCAATCACAAAGCAAGTACAATAAAGTACAATAAAGTACAATAAAGTACAATAAAGTACAATAAAGTACAATAAAGTACAATAAAGTACAATAAAATCAAAAACATAGCTTTTACTTGACTAACTAACGTGATCTAATTTATAAAAGGAAAATTTCAGTGCACCAGAAAGCCTATGTTTACATTTGAGCACAGATTTAAATTCATAACCTTCAGAGAGCCACTCTTATCTGAGATGTTACGTGGATGTGATCATGCCCGTCTTTGTCGCTTTCTTCTTTGCCGTTATGGACCACAACAATGCAAATTTTTCAGCTACAAGACTTGCTACAAGAAAGTAAAAGATTCGAAAGAGATTCCCTGAGAAAAAACCTTTTTAGGCCATTGTTATCATCAATCCGAATTACCAAAATCAATTGTTCCTTGTGAAATTCAATGAAAGAGGCCAAACACCTGTCATTGAGGTGAGCAAACTTTCGGCTTAGGCTTAGGCTTCTACAAAGAAAGTTTTCAAACAGCTCCTGTAATCTAGCGGATTTCTAGTCTCATGGTATTCAGTGTACCAAATGGTCCAGTGTAGACTTGTGTTTCGGTTCAACCGAAGTCAACGGAAAAGATGATTTTTTCGGTTCGGTTCGGTTAACCGAAACTGGAACCGAAACCGAACCAAAAAAGAACGTTTCCGGTTCACGTCCAGTTCTCGGCCCTCGCGTCCAACACAAGTCTAGTCCAGTGCTCGGCCCTTGCGCTAGCCAACTCTGGTTCGAATCCCCTCATTGTCAAAACCTTTTGCCTTTTTGCTCAAAACAATTTTTAGATGTTTTAAAGTGACTTTAACGGTAAGAAGTTAGACTTCTGGAAATGGCAAAGATGATCTTCATGCTCTGAAGGCTCTGAAGGCTCTGAAGGCTCTGAAGGCTCTGAAGGCTCTGAAGGCTCTGAAGGCTCTGAAGGCTCTGAAGGCTCTGAAGGCTCTGAAGGCTCTGAAGGCTCTGAAGGCTCTGAAGGCTCTGAAGGCTCTGAAGGCTCTGAAGGCTCTGAAGGCTCTGAAGGCTCCGTATTCAAAATTTTGGGCCTTATCAGGCTGGTCAATCTCTGGGTTTAGCCCAGAAAGTCGACTTTTGGCAGTAGCAGGTTACTGTAGCCCGTATGAGACTAGAACTACAGTATTTTACTGTTGCACAAAATCTTATTATACTTTTCGCTCACTTAAGACTGGCTTTATCTTACTGTAATCGATATTTCTGAAAGCAATGAATTCCTTGAACTTTACAGGTTCTCTTCAAAGGAGTTTCCGCGATGAACGAGACGAATTCTCTAAAATGCATGTGGGTGGATAAAGCTGTCGACGAGATTATCCACGTTTGTATGACTTTTTTGTGGAGTGAAATGAATGTACACAAAGGATAGCTGAATAAAGTTAAATCTCGATTTCAACCATTATTTTAAACCATCGGGTTTCTCTGATTGTTTAATCGAAAAGGGTTTATAAAGTCTTTATAAATACCGTAGTCTCTTTAATAGTCGTGAGCCGAGTTGATGACTATTTTACAGCTCCCAAGCTTTCGCAGAAGCTCAACCCTCAAATCCTCTCACAAGATCTCATCGTTAGCTACATTTTCCGACCCCACATCGATAGGTTCTGATCAGCGGTTCTCGAGATTTCAAGGAATTTAAGCGAAGCGGGAATTGGGGAAAGTAATGAACCGAAATTTGCGTTTTGACTAAACAAAACCCAAGTTTTGTTGATTGATCGAGTTCTTAACGCTAGCTGCGCTAAGAATTTGCTACTTAAGCCCCGCCGTTTTTTAAAAATAGACTCAAAAGTCAGATTCTCCATAGCCGAAAACCCCTGGGAGCGCGCGCAAAGCTGAATACTGTATCCTCTCTAATAGTAGTGCACCACAGCGAGTCGAGTTGATGCCTATTTACGGCTTCCAAGCTTTCGCAGAAGCTCAACCCTCAAATCCTCTCACAAGATCTCATCGTCAGCTACATTTTTCGAACTCACATCGATAGGTTCTGATAAGCGGTTCTCGAGATTTCGATCAATTTAGGCAAAGCTTTAGGTGCACTACTATTAGAGAAAATACGGTAGCTTTCAAGAAACCCTTCAAATCGTTATATCGAGAGAAACATTAAATCAAAAAAAGCGCTAAATCGAGCTTTGACTGTATTTTTCATTTAATAGATCTATTTTATTGTTTTCATTTACCTCTTTACATTTTAAACCGTTTATACTCCGATTGCCAGTTTTTTTCCAGCTCATTTCAATTCTTATGGGTTTTTTATATTCAAAAAAATTTGAATATTCAAGTTATTTCTGGAAATATTGATAGAAGTAGACTATTTTCTCAATCGAAAAATTCAAAAATTTATCAAAAGAGAATGAAACCGAGTTTTTATTGACAATCCAAGCACAGGCAGACAGGCAGACAGACAGACAGACAGACAGACAGATAGAGACAGACAGACAGACAGATAGACAGACAGACAGCAAGACAGACAGAACAGACAGATGACAGCAGCCAAGAGCAGCGGCAGGACAGACAGACGGACAGAGGACGGAGAGAACAGATACAGACAGACAGAGCCAGAAGACGGAGGGGACAGACAGAGACAGACAGATACAGACAGCCAGACAAACAGCCAGACAGCCAGTCAGCCAGACAGCCAGCCAGATAGACAGACAGATAGACAGACCGACGACGTAAAATGTAGAGGTTTATTTGATCGAAAATCGATTTCTATAACATAATCGTTGACTTTTTTTGACTTTATCGAAAATAAGCGACTTCTGCCGAGGTTTCCATTCAAAACGCGATCTTTTTTTCACAAAAATCCCTTAAAATGCGAATTTGTTGTTGAATTTTCCCCATTTTCCAGATGATTTTGATCAAAATTCAATCTTTTCCTTTCCTTTTTCACCTGTCTTTTTTGCTTTACAAGAGAAATTTACACGTTTTTTTTGCTTATTCTTTCGAAAATTTCTTTAATTTAACTGTGATTTCTTTTGAAAATATTTCATCTTTTATTTAATAAATTAATTGATTTTTTTTGTTTTTACAAGAAAAACAATGAAATTTAAAAGAAAAGTTCAAGAAAAGCGACGTATTGTGAAAAGTGACGTAAAACAGCCATTTTTTCGCTCTACCGCCCTTTACTAAAATAGCTGTAAAAACTTTTAGAAAAGAGATATCTCAAAACGGTTTTTACCAATCGATCCGTCTTGAATTCAGCTTTAGGATGAGCTATAGAACGTCAAAATTCGACAAATTTAAGGTGCTCTCCCACAAAAAATCGAAAAGGGCTTTTCCATCAACCCAATACTTTGTGCTGAAATAGAAACGCGCCAATCTGGTGCACTCAATTCTTTGTTTTTACTCATTTGTACTAAGAAGAAGCAAGAAAATAATATTATTTATTAATCTGTAGGCTTACAGTAATCTTACCGTAGTCCGAAATCACAGTAATACCGTCGTCCTCTATTTGTCTGTTTCAATCGATGATTACATAAGGAAATGAAGAACTCAGTGCAATAGAAAGGGTGTTTTTCCAAGAGCACATTTCAAAGAACACTCCAAGTGAGCTCAAAAGCAAACCTTCTGGCACACGGCACTGAAATAAACCGGTTCATTTACGCAACAAGTCGTCTGGAAAAGCAAGCCAATTTTGCTGCCCTTTTATCAGAGAAAGTACCGTAAATACTGTAATTGGACCCCACCGTACAGTCGTACAGTTGCGTAGTCGCACCCGTACTTTCAAAAAATGCCCATAATGTAATAGCCCATAATGACGGTGCGGAGTGTTGCGTAGTCTAGCTTTGAACGCGTTTTTCTCGACACTGGTTTAAGCTACAATGCTCGTTTAGGTATCAAAAAAATAGCTGAAATTCAGGGCTATTTTTTGATACCTAAACGAGCATTGTAGCAGAAACGAGTGTCGAGAAAAACGCGTCCAAAGCTAGGCTACGCAACGCTCCGCACCGTCATTATAGGGATGGGGTACTATTACAGTATTTACGGTATGGTATTTTTTGCTGTTTTTGCTGTTTCCAACGTTTCCTACAATCTTCCCCACGAAAATCGATGATTTCATCACCGTCAGCAAATCTTTTTCCCCTCAAAATCCCCATTAATTTCCATATTTTGAATGGATTTGTCTTCCCCTTTCCCCCCATTTCCCCCTTTCTTCTCATCAGATCAAATACCCGATTTGCTCAAAGATTTTCCCTCAAAATCCATCCAAAAAACCCCTCCTTTTTCCCCAACGGATTATCCTCCCGATGAAAATAAAAATATTAGAAAATATTAGAAAATTTGGGATTTCTTTCCCCCCTCCTCCCCAAGTTCTTACATCTTTTTACATATTTTCGCCTCCGCAAAAATTACTCATTTTTTTCTCGCATTACACATCTTTTCATTCATTTCAATTCAAGAATTTCATGTAAAACTGCAACCAAAAATCAGTTTTTAAATTCTAAATCAATTTTTATTTATTTGAATTTCAGTGGAAAGAGATTTGAAGCTGAATTTGAAGCTGAATTTGAAGCTGAATTTGAAGCTGAATTTGAAGCTGAATTTGAAGCTGAATCTTCTCCTCTCCAAGCTAGAAATGTTCTGAATTTATCGAAAAGTTTAAACCAATTAAATCAAATTTGATTGATAGATTTGATAAAATAACTCGAATTGATTGATCGATCTTGGAACAGATTTACAGCTGAATATCTTTTTTGTACGATTTACAGTGCAAAAGCAGAATCCCTGCGTAAAGGAATGGGGTTCTTTGTGCGGCCACGTAATCGCTCGCGGTCTGGCACACGTGCCCGATAGATAGCTGTTCCCTTTTCGATTCTGTAAACGGGAAGGAACGATGAGAGACGGAGCGTCCGGCCTGTCGCAAACCCCGAACTCCCGTCCCAAATTTGGCTCCAGTTTCTCTAGAAATTCCACAGGCCGGGCGCTCCGTCTCTCATCGCTCCTTCCCATTTAGAGAAGAAGAGAAAGGGAACAGCTATCTATCGGGCACATGTGCCAGATCGCGAGAGATTACGTGGCCGCACAAAGAACCCCATTCATCTACGCAGTGATTCCGCTTCCAAAACCAGCCCGTTTAACCAAAACCAGCCGATGCACTCATGGCTAAAACTGACCCGAAAAACTGATTCCTTTCTAGCAATGGATTTCATCAAAAAGAATATTTTAGGACTCTGTCGAGTACACCAAAGTCAAGCAATTCAATATTTTTCCAATCGGTTCAATTACTCACTTTTGAAGGACCTTCAACCCTAGAATTCTTTGAATTTCTTTAGATTTTGATTTGTTTTTAGCTTTTTCTTTCTTTTTACCAGAAATCAATTTAATTTTCTCACTTTGGCACGAAAATAGACACTAATTGAATGTCGAATAGGATAATCCTATAGATAAACAGCCCAAAAAACTCTAAGAAACTTCAAAACTCTAAGAAATGACAAATATTTTGATCCTTTTTTTTCTTTATTTCATCTTATTCGAATGTGAAGGCAATTCCTGAAGGCTCAAGGAAAAGAAAAAGTTGAGAAGCCCAAAAATAGGAGCTTTTCAGTGGAAAAAAAGGGAATCAAGCTAATTACACCTCGAGAAAAGAAAGGGAAAATGAAAAAAGGAGGAAAGGAATAAGAAAAGAATAAGAAAAGAATAAGAAAAGATCTCGTTTTTTTGCTGAAAAGCTTTCTGTTTTCTTTTCCAGTGTTCACAATTTTATCGTTCTTTTTCTCCTAATCCCGATGTACTTTGTGCTCACTTAAACGCGAGTTTCTGGCGGACTAGAGTTCACGCTGTTAGCAGATATTCAATTAATTTCAAGCTTCTAGAGCTAAAGTCTGATTTCCTATGCTAATTCGCTCTGGGGACGGTAGCTACGGATATCACTGGGATTACTGTAAGATCTAATTATATTCCGGATTACGGTAGTAAATACGGTACTACTTATAGTACCGATAGGGATTACGGTACTAGTTATAGTATCTCTGGATATCGTCCGTGAACGCGAGCCTTCAGGCACGCTTTTATGTCTCGGAACACCCATTCAAATCCTATCCAAATCTAAAACCTTTCAGACTTAACTCCCTCTGGAGTGAGAGGATCAGTTGGTTAGCACAGTTGCCTGCTAGGCGAAAAGTCGCGGGTTCGAGTCCCGGCGGCGCACAAGTTTTTATCTCTTCTCTTCCCACTGGGATATACAGGGTGCGGCCAAAATATCCGGCGATGAAAAGACCGACTGGTCTTCAGAAAATTAGCAGAAAAGCTTTATAGAATTTTACTGAAAATAACAACAACAGTCCAAATAACAAAATAAAAACAGTTAAATCTCAAAGTTTCCTCCTTTTTCCTTCATGCAAGCCCTAAGTCGCTTCGGCACATCGTCGACCGCGGCACGGAGAGTCTCAACGGGGATTTTTGCCCATTCCTTGATAAGGGTGGCTTTCAGATCATCCAAATTAGCATGTGGAGCTGATGAGACCTTTGCCTTCAAGATTCCCCATATGGCGAAATCCATAGGATTGATGTCAGGTGAATTTGCAGGCCATTCTTCCGGGGTAATGAAATCCACGTTTTGCTTCGCAAACCACTCCATGGTCCTTTTTTGCACGATGTGCTGGTGCAGAATCTTGTTGAAAGATCCAAGGTGCTCCAGAAAAGTGATTATCAGCCCAAGGCTTCATATGCCTCATCAAAATTTCTTTTTCGTAGTAATTTTGATCAATTTTCACACCTGGCTGCACAAAAACCAGAGGTGTTTTTCCATCAGCGGTCCCTCTGGATTAGAGTGTGCTCCTTGTTGACAGACAATTTGTCAGACAAATTTTCATTGACAACTTTTTTGTCAGACAATTGATCCGACAAGACTTCCGACAACGCGTTTTCTAAAAGGTGCGCTTTTTAAGCAAAACTATAAAGGTCGCGCGAAAAAAATTTGCAAACTTTTCTTAAAATATAGTAACGCGTTGTCTGCAAGGAACACACTCTACTCTGGATTAAGCGAATCAGGTGCATTATGGTGTAATGGTTAACACAGTCGCCTGCTAGCCGAAAGGTCGAGGGTTCGAGTCCCGGCGGCGCATAAATTTTGATCTGTCCTATTTCCATCTCAAGAAATCCTGTGTTTTTCAAATTTCTCTCTTTTTCAATTTCTTTTCCCTTTGTCGGTGTTCCGAAGAGCAAAAATTCAATAAAATTTCACCCTTTTCCCCTTTTTTTCACACCTCGTAAACAAGCCGCATTTGGCTGGAAAATTAAAATCCTTTTGAATAAATGAAAAAAAAAAATCTATTTAAACCAAAATTTATTTAAAAATTCTTGTTTTTCATTTTGAAATCTACCTTTAAACTTTAGCTTTTTATTTTATTTTTCTCTCTCAAAATTTTCCTAATTTCCGCATCAATTTGCTTTTTTTTTTCCTCTAGGGAAACATTTTTGATATAAAATTTTTTTTTTTAATTTTTAAATTTTACCTTTAAAAGTTGAGTCATTTGCGCAGAATGATAGTAAAAATTTTAATTTTTGACTTTCTTTTTTATTTTTTGACTTTTTTCTTTTTTCTTTTTCTTTTTTAACTTTCTTTTTTCTTTTTTTGACTTTCTTTTTCTTTTTTTTTCTTTTAAATAAGTGTTTTCTAAATGTGTGAATGTTGATTTGTGAGAATATTTTCCCGGTAGCTTCTCGTCTGAAGGAAAGTGACCATACTCGAGCATACGATGATGACAGACTCGAGTAAAGGCTCTCATCCCCATAAGTCGCATCCAGAATTTCAAAGCCTCTTGATAACTAGAGAAAGAGCCTGTTTTAAAGTAGACTTTTCTTTTTTTGATTGATTGATTGATTGACTAAACAAAAATCACCTCTATAACTATTGAGTCTTTTTAGAAGCTTTTATTCAAAGTTTTTAATTTCAATGTTCTAATTTCAATGTTCTAATTCCAATGTTCTAATAGGTTGATGCATAAGTCTTTTTGTTTCTTTTCGTCTGCCGTTTCAAGCCAACAAATGCACGAATTAAACTACGGTTGATTTCATTAGAAAAAGCAATTATTTTTCTGCAAAATAACATTAAAACGGGTTTAAAAATATTGAATGCCTGGATTTTCTTGAGAGTATGAAGTCGGGTAGTCAAAAAGGGCTAACTCGATGATGAGGTTTAGACACCTTAGCTAAAGAAAACCTATCTTCGTGTCAATAGATAAAAGATAGAGAAAAAAAACGTTTGATATTTCGCCAAAATTTCAGAGAAATTCATTCAGCCAATTTTTCCGTAGAGTTTTTTATAGATTTTTACGAAAAAGGCGTTTTTCACTCTCGAATTTGCTTGAAAGTGAACTTGAAAGTGAATTCATTTAAAAAGATGCAAATTGAACAAAAAAAACACTTTTTTTATAGAGCAAACTATAGATTAATTCGTGAATTTGTTACTTTTTAACAGAAGTACGAAAAAAACGAAAAGACTTATGCATCAACCTATTATATTAGCTATAGAAATCGAATCTATAGCTATATAACAAAAATCTATTACATGTTTTTGATCAATCGTTGCCAGGGTATATTTCTGTGAGGAAACGGGAGTGAGAAGGGGTGGTGGTTGGCCGGTTGATGGAGTTTGAGCCTCACTCGAGGAACGTTGACGGATCAGAAGGGCTCGCTCACGGCTTTCTGGAAAGATAAGGCTTTTTGGAAAGGGTTTTCCTTGAGTTTTTGATAGAAATCCAGCTATTTACTTATGCATCAACCTAATAATTTCAATGTGCTTATTTCAATGTTCCAATTTCAATCTTTTAATTTCAATGTTCTAATTTCATTACCACTCTCTTTTTATTTGATTTTTAAGGATTTCAAACCGGTGTCTATCTTTTAAATTATTTTTTTTCTGCCTAGCTTTACTGCCAAGAATAGAAATGACTTCGGACTTTTGTAGCCAAGAAAGATTTAGCCTTGATTTAGCTTCGGTTTTATTGCTACATCGAGTGATGATGATTGATGATGAGAATTGATGACAGGCAAGATCTTGGCCTGACTTTGATAAACAAACCTTGTCTTGTCTTGTCTGATTGTCTGACTGTCTTGTCTGACTTCTCTCTACTGCAACTCTTAGACTTGGCTTTGCTAGTCTTGCTCTACCCTATCCTGGTTTCTCAGCTTCCAACTCTAGCTCTTGAAAGATTGTTCTCTCAGAATGAAACTAAAGTCACTGTAAAAACATTTTAGGCAATCACAAACTTATCAATTTCATTGATGAAAGGAGTACGAAGGGGATGGTCAGAATGCATCGAAAGAACAGCACAATCAATCATGATCACATCAATCGATCGATCATTTGATCATCATTCCGATGGAGAACATCAAGCAATACCGATTTGTCGAAAGCGGGCCAGAACATTGACGGGTGATAGTGGGAAAAGGTTTTGTCAGGTGAGTGGATGGAGTAGACAGTGGGATTAGGCTTTGGCTTAGTACTGGTTAGTAATTAGAACATTGAAATTATACAGATACAGTACTGGACAATGAAATATGATATTTGAAAAACGATCGTCACTTTCGCGCGTCTGTAACTCCTTTGTCTTTGAGTTTAAACTATTAGTGTTATACATTTTCTGAAAGCTCTTTTCAAGCGCTACACAATGGTAATATTAATATTTAGAAATACGGTAAAGACAATGGAGTTACAGACGTGCGAAAGTGACGATCGTTTTTCAAATATGATATTTCATTGTCCAGTAGTGTAGCTGCTGAGTCAATACGAATCTAGCTCATAAGCTATAAGCTATAAGCTCTAAGCTATAAGCTATAAGCTATAAGCTTTAGAAAATCAAATAGACTTGGACTTTTTTTAGGTGAGTCAAGACGAATCTTTCTTGTCCACCGAATGGATCGATGAGGAAAAACGGGGGCTCGAAAAAGCCGCTTCGGCAGAGATTTTGGAGAACTTTGGTGATGAAAAGGTTCAATTACAGTAAACACTTACAAAATAGACATTAATCAATATAATATAGTAACTTTTGGCTACAAAATGCGAGCATATCTAGCCTGTTAATCGAGAAGAAAATTGTGTACTTTATGGCTTCCTTCAATCGCGCCTTATGTCAAACCAAAACTTGGGTAATTAAACCGGCTGACGGGCATTTCCAGTCGCCTTTATCCAGGGCAGTGTGCCAGAAGACGCTTTTTCCGATAAGTGACATCAAAAAAACGCACACCGGAAGACAAGACAAGACAAGACATAACATTCTTTGGAGTGAGGAGATCAAGGGCGTGGTGGTGTAATGGCTAGCACAGTTACCTGGCGAGCGGAAGGTCGCGGGTTCGAATCCCGATGGCGCACAGGTTTTTATCTCTTCTAGTTCCCACTGGGACTTAACTCCCGCTGCATTAACGGAGATCAGGTGCATTATGGTGTAATGGTTAGCACACTTGCCTGCTAGCCGAAAGGTCACGGGTTCGAGTCCCGGGCGCGCACAGTTTTTTGATCTAGTTCCGACTTAAGGCTAGATTTGGTTCAAATCATTAAAAGAACGCGGAAGGAAAGTTACAGTGTACTAGAATTTGCATTAACAATAAGATTGCAAAATTGTAGCAAATTTTTCAGATCCCATCAACTTCGAGAGCCCAAAATCCAGCTCTGAACGATGAGGTTCAACTTTTTAAAAAAATCTCAATACCTAATTTTAGACTCTTGCCGTAAAGCGGAAAAATTTTTCGGAAAGTCGACGAAAGAAAGTTTTACAAAGAATTCAAAGGGTACGGGAGTCTTTTGAAATTTATAGTTTCCAAATTTCAGCCAAATTCAGCCCTTTCCATGACACCGATTCGTTGCAAAACACCAAATTCGATAAAAGAGATTGAAAATGTGATGGTGGGCAGATTTTGGTGAACTAGAAATTGAAGATATTATAGATTGAATCATCAGCAAAGGAGAACATTCATTTAATGAGGAATCTTCAAGAAATCTTGACAAAAACAAATCCTCAACCACAGAATCGAACCTTAGATCTACCGCCTTCAATAAGTCAACGATTTTCGGTAAAAGCTACAGTAAGCTGAAAGCTAGAGTAAGCTGAGAGCTACAGTCTGAAAGCTACAGTAAGCTGAGAGCTACAGTAAGCTGAGAGCTACAGTAAGCTGAGAGCTACAGTAAGCTGAGTGCTACAGTAAGCTGAGAGCTACAGTAGGTTGAAAGCTACAGTCTGAAAGCTACAGTCTGAAAGCTACAGTAGGCTGAAAGCTACAGTCTGAAAGCTACAGTAATCCGTATCTTAGTAAGCTCAAAGCCGTACAGCCTACAGTAATCAGAATCAGAATCAGTGATCTGTTAGCTTACTGATCTACCAAATCTCTTCTAATCAAGCGATATTTTAGAGATCAAACCTAAAGAAACGATCGGATAGTATGGGAAATGAGGAACAAGATGAGGGAATCAAAGTGAAACAGTGCAGAAGAGAGAGGTAGAGGAGCTAAAACTAAAACTAAATCTTTTCTGCACTTAAGTCTTACGAGAGAAACCAAAATGTTACCGTAAACGAAGGGATTCGGTTTTTTTTTTCCAAATTTGAGTGTAAGATTAGAGATTAGAGATTTACATTAACCAAATCTTTGTCAAAAGAAATTTATGCATTTTACAAGAGTAAAACAATTCTAAAACTTTTACAAATTCATAGAAAAGTTCAGGAGAAACTCCTCAGCACCGGCTGTCCAGAATCGTCTAATGCGTCGCAGAAATGCCATGTATTTGCTGGTGAAAAAAGTAAATTATAGAGAAAAATGCAAATTTTTTCAGATAAATAAGCTTTTAAGCTAAATTTTCTAGATTGAGACTCCGCCTACTTCGTCGGATGAATTTATTGAAGAGCTTTTTTGCGATCCGACATCTGATGATGAGCAAATAATAAAAAATCATTGCTCATTTGACGAATATCGACATCCATCTATGAAATTTGAATGGGGAATTGATGGAGATGAAGAAAAAGATGAGGAAGAAAGGGAAGTTGATGAGGAAGTGATGGAGGTCGCATGCGGCGATGGGAAAGAGGTCAGATTTCTGTGATTAACTCAATGAGTACTCAAAAAGCTGTGTACTTTGTGCTCAAAATGTAAACACATCCTGTCTAGCGTGAACCAAACTTGCTAATCAAGAAAAATCAATATCACGTTTTCTTTGCGCTTTCATAGTCTTCTGGCACGCTGAACTTGGGTAATTAAACCGGCCGAGGGGGCTTCCCCGGCCGGGTTACTCCCGGCCAGTGTGCCAGACGCCGTTTTTCTCACGAGCGACAGGGAAAGAACGCATTTTCCCACAAACTTAGGTAATTAAACCGGCCGAGAAGGCTTTCCGGCCGGCTTTACCCGGGGCCGTGTGCCAGACGCCGCTTTTCTTACGAGCGACATGAAAGGTACACACAGCCGAATGTGCCAAATGTAGCGCTTTGGAGTGTAGCGCTGTGTGTACTTTCCATGTCGCTCGTAAGAAAAAGCGGCGCCTGGCACACGGCCCCGGCTGAGGCCGGCCGGGAAGCCCTATCAGCCGGTTTAATTACCCAAGTCGTGCCAAAAGCGAAAGAAGCTATCCTGCACTAGAAGCTGCACTAGAAACGGCGCGTTTACCAATTTAAGCACAAAGTACGTGAAATCCCTTAGCTTTCCTCGAAACTTCACTCAATGAAAACTTTTCAGTCTTGTGACTGCAATTTGAGCCTCGCCGCCACGAGATCTTTCGCTTTATTGATTTTAAATGAATCTTTTCATTGAATATTCTTTGATCTTTGATTTTAAATGTTTTTTGATATCAAATATCCATATTTTGTGATTTCTAATGAAATCTGAAACTTTCCCTCTTGTCCAACCTTTCAAATGATCTCAAACCCGCCACGGGTTTATGTAAACTTTTGCAAATCTTTTTCTAATCTCTTTAGATTCACGAATAAACATTAAAATCTTTAAAAAGCAAAGAAAACCACAAAATACATAAAAAAGAGAAAAAAATGAGAGAATTTTTGAGATAAACCATTGCAGTATTGCTTGTCATTGCAGATACAACGATTGGGAGTCTGAAAATGGAGAAAGAATTGATTGATTAGATAATATGTTGTTGTACAAGGGAATGGTCTCAGCTCAAAGTTGAGAGTCGATTCGATTCGAAAATTGGTTAGGAGAGGATTTGAACCAAGCCAAAAGACTCCTAGGTTCGTAGACTAGCACACTATCCGCTAGACCAGAAAAGCCGTTGGAAGTCTTCTTGTTGCCAATAAAGAGTCCGAAATTTGAGCAAATTTTCTATGCCAGATTCCTCGCATTGAGAGTCGTGCGCTTTTTGCAGATTCGGAATTAGGATGTTTGGTTCTATAAGGTGCACCCTTGAATCGATTCTCAACTTCGAGCTAAGCTGAGCTGAGCTTCGAGCTAAGTTGAGCTTTGAGCTGCACTGAGCTAAGCTGAGCCTCGATCTGAGCTAAGCTGAGCTTCGAGCTGAGCTGAGCTTCGAGCTGCAGTGAGCTAAGCTGAGCTTCGAGCTGAGCCTCGATCTGAGCTGAGCTGAGCTTCGAGGTAAGTTGAGCTTCGATCTGAGCTAAGCTGAGCTTCGAGCTGAGCTAAGCTAAGCTTCGAGCTGAGCTAAGCTGAATTGGAGACCATTCCCTTGTTCGCTTGGCTACTGGACATTGTACTTTAGGCGTACTTCTCTATATACTATCCGAAATGTAAGCTGATCATTATGTACTATACTTTGTACTTACTAGACGTACTAGACTGTACCTTATGTGCTGTACTTTGTACGTACTACTAGCAATGACAGTACTAGGTACTTTAACTACACTGCAATGATCTGTAGTACAGTCTATATTGTACTGAATCGTTTTTTTTTACAAGCATAGAGCTTACGGTTCAGCTACTGACTAACTGCAATGTATTCTTCATTCTATAAAATCCATTTTTTCCCTTTTTCCCTAAATAACGAACCGCCACATAATCCTCAGTCACAGCTTGGTTCCCCGTTTGAACACAGGAATTTGGCAATTGTGCTGTTGTCTAAAGAAACATAAGAATTTCCCAGAATACATCAAAACTCACGTTTTTCCCGCAATATTTCGTGTAAGTGTGAAAATAATAAATGCTAAAGCGATACTTGAATTTATAGGTCACTAAATGAAATTGATCTTTAGAGTTTCCTTTTTCAAATCACTCACCAACATCTTTCACACAAACTTCTCCAGTACAAGTGCTCGTGCTCGCCTTTGAATTGCAATTGCCCGATCCTTTCGCTTAATTTAGTCACATTTGTAGACATCGTCTTTTGTGGTTTTCAAGAATTGTGCGGCTTTTGCCACACGAAACTTGGGTAATTAAACCGGCTGAGGAGGCTTCCCGGCCGGCTTTACCCGGGGCCGTGTGCCAGACGCCGCTTTTCTCTACGAGCGACATGAAAAGTACACACAGCACTACTCCAAAAGCAAGCGCGCCTTCTGGCCCAAACTTGGGTAATTAAACCGGCCGAGGAGGCTTCCTGGCCGACTTTACCCGGGGCCGTGTGCCAGAGGCCGCTTTTTCTTACGAGCGACATGAAAGGTACACACAGCCGAATGTGCCGAATGTGCACTCTTTTGTTCATTGAGTGCACCAGAAAAGGTGTGTTTGCACTTTTCAAGCACAAACTACACAATCGCATAGCTTTTAAAAGTATAAACAAACGATTTGGGATCCTTTTGGCGAACATAGCATTCCTCAAATTCGCCTTTAATCTTCCTGTTGTCGAGTCAGCGCCCGAGCACACGTGACATTCCACAGAAAAGACTGAAATCAATATAGAAAACTTTAAATCAATCAATTTTTATCAAAAATTCTTTTATCTAAAACAAACCTATTGGAAATAAAGAAATAAAAAGTAAATATTTCATTTAAAATCTGATTTTCAATCGATTTTCCCTTTCTAAAGGTTGCTGAGGAACAAAAATAAAGAAAAGAAAAATTTTTAAAACAAAAACTGAAAAAAATGGATCATTTTCTATTCTAAACGGTTTTTCGTCTTTCATTTAGACAATGAGAAGAAGCCTGAATTTATGTTGAAATCAAAATGAGTCAAAATTTATCCAAACTTTCATCTTAAGCATGAATCTTCAGATTACTGTAATCTTCTTGATGTTCTTCAGATGTTCTGAGATTGAAAACTGTTTGATGTGTGAAGGAAAAGTCTAGGAGATGATCTCTCAGAGTTAGACAATCGTCAATGAGGATTCTGAAGTGATTTGTTCAAAGTTTGATACATAGTTTGTTAAGAAGAATGCAATAACTAGGATGAACTATCGATTTTCTCTTTGATGACTTTGACTTTGATGCTTCTTTGACTTGGGGAGACTTTGATGTTTCTATTCAGGCGCATGCTGCTTTTGTAATGGGTATCGTTGCATTTTTTGATTCTGTACTAAGAAACAGTAAAAAAACAGTACTAATAAACAGTAAAATGATAAATTCCGTTTGCTTTATGCTACCCTTCAGCTTTAAATCCTTTTTAGATAGCTGGTTTAACACTGGAAAGAACTTACTAACATTTGAGGTCGCCATCGACGAAGTAACAATGCGTTCTGTACTTTTATCACGAGTATTAATCGTATTTTGGATGCTGCGTGTTCTTGTTATGTTGTAAGCGTTTTGGGGAAACTCTTTTAACCTTTTTTGTGCTACTCGACTTAATTTTAAATCCGATTTTCAACCTTTTTTCCTTTCTAAAGGTTGCTGAGGAACAAAAATAAGAAAAAGAAAGAAAAGAAAAATTTTTAAAACAAAAACCGAAAAAAATGGATCATTTTCTATTCTAAACGGTTTTTCGTCTTTAATTTAGACAACGAGAAGAAGCCTGAATTTATGTTGAAATCAAAATGAGTCAAAATTTAACCAGACTTTCGCATCTTTTGAGCTCTGAATCCATTAATATATGGCTGACAAATGATCAAAAAATGAATTGCGAACAATTTGATGTTCTTTATGATCTCATCGTCACCTACAATCCCACATCAAGAGATCCTGATAAGCGCTTTTTGAGATTTTGAGAAATTTTGGTACACACAGAGAAAGAGAGAAAAAGACGAAAAAATGCCGACGCGAATAATTGCAAAATAGGAACGCAAAAAGGAACGCAAAAAGGAAGGATGCGACCAAACTTAAGTTCACTTCCACTTGTAATACTTTTTGATCGAGCTTCTCATGATTATCTAAACAATTCAAAGATCATTTTCTAAACAAATCATCGAAATAGAACTCTTCTAAGATCTAGACATCTAGACATATCGTAGAGTGCAGTACTACCTACAGTAAACCGTTCTCTTTCGTTTGTAATAGATTGCTAGGTTTTTTTCAATAACCTGTGTCAAGGAATGTCATTTTTTTTTGCCCATTTTCCCAGCAATTTTCCTCAAAATTCCCGAAAATCCAGTGTCCTTCAAAAATGCGCGAGAAAAATTGGCTCTTTGAAAGACAGGCCTGCGGGGAGAAAGAGGAGAATATTTTGTGAAGAGATCAAAAAGAAAAATGGGTAATGAAGTGTGAAAGGGCTTGGATTTGGAGAAAAGGGAAAGGAAAGATGAGGGAGATTTTGCTCGAGAGCTTTTCTTCAAAGGTGTCTTTGAAGTGGGACACTTGGGGGAGGAGATTTCGAGACTTCTTGATTTGCATAGAAAGCTTGGCTAGAAGAATTAGTTATTCTTTTGTTTAGAAAGATGCATTGCATTCAGATTTATCTTGGAATTAGGTAAGACAACTTTGTAAGCGTAAACACACTCTTCTGGTGCACTTGTTTTCTGGTGGACTCTATTTTCTGGTGTACTCTATTTTCTAAATCATAATCCTTGAGCTTACAGTAATCTGAAAGCTCTGTAATCCTCGATCTTACTGTAATCAGAATGCTACCGTAGGCCGTACCTAAACTACTGTCATTTGCCAAAAACGGTGGAACAAAAAGACAAGTTTACTATCTTTGATTCCAAAAATCTCCTCTTCTTCAAGCTTCTTTATTTCAAGCCTTACTAGCTTTTACTAGCTTCAAGCTTTACTTCAAGTTTTTTAGCTTGTTCATCACATCCGTCTCTTTCCCCAATCCATTCCATTCCTTTCTTTCCTTCGTTCCCTTTCTTTCCTCCCTTTCTTTCCTCCCTTTCCTTCCTTTCCATCGTTTCCTTCCATTTCTTCATTTTCATCTCGAATCTCTGTGCCGTTCTTCCCCTTTCCCCCCTTTTTTTTCCCCATTTCTCACATTTGCGATTTTCGAGTTTTCACCTCATACTCACACTATTTCAAACCTCAAAAAACTCTCCTTCTGCTTAGTTTCAAAGAACTTTTAAAGCTTATTCTAGATTTAGATCTAACAGCTTACCCAATTTACCTACCCAAGTTTCCTCTCTACCCAAGCTTCCTCTCTACCCAAGCTTCCTCTCTACCCAAGCTTCCTCTCTACCCAAGCTTCCTCTCTACCCAAGCTTCCTCTCTACCCAAGTTTCACTTGTGATCACTTCAAACAGTCAGTCTAGATCTTGTTCAGCTTTTATTTGTCTTTTCACAATCGTAAACCTTCTGGCACACGAAACTTGGGTAAATAAAAAGGGCCAAGGGGATTTCCGGACATCAGTGTGCTAGACGGATTTTGCTAGTGGCATAAAAGAATAAACTGTTTTTCGACTGTTTGTCAAATTCTAAAGTCTAAACTTTTTTTTTTTTGGATTTGCAGATAGAAACTGGATAAATGGATGTGCTAAAAGGCGTGTAAAGCTCTTCTTTTTCTCATGTTTTTCATCAAAAATTTCTTCTCCGTTGCAAATATTTGATCGGCGTCAAATCGACCGTAAAATTTTTCTTTGCAATCGGTTTTGCCTTCGTTTTTTCGTTGAAAAGGACATCTTATAAATGGTTGAATGAATTTGAATAGAAGTTAGAGAAGTTAGAGAAGAGGAATAGAAAAATGAATCCACGATTGCTTGAATTTGACTGGAGTTGAAGATGGAAATCAATGGAAATCAATGGAAATCAATGGAAATCATTTCAACTCTAGTTCAGTGTTTAAAACCATTTAATAGTAATTGTAGAGTTGTAACCATTAAATTGGAATGAAAATGAGAAGAGATTGAGCTTAGATTGAGCCTAGATTGAGGTAGTAAACTCTTCAAATCATGCCAAAGAAATTTGGAAATTCTTTGAACAACAATAAAGACATTTTCATGTCCTTTTGATTCAAAAATCTTTATTGAAATGTATCTTTTCTACTTCCTTTTCGATTTCCTTTCTACTTCCTCTCTACTTCCTTTTCTTCTTCTTTCCATTAATCGTTTCCTATTTTCTTCTTTTTCTTGTCGGATTGTTAATTGAAACCATCTTTTTGTCTTTTTCTGAAAAATCGTTTCATTCTTTCTCTTCTTTCTCTTCTTTCTCTTCTTTCTTCCTTTCTTTCTCTTCTTTCTTTCTTTCTTTCTCTTCTTTCTTTCCCCCCGTTTTTCCTTTTCGATTCACTGTTCCATCAAGACAAAGTGTAACGAAAACGACCGGAAGAAACAATACATAAAAAATATTTGAACTATCAATTCTAAAATATCAGTACTATTTGGTTATAAATCCCAATACCTTAACAACTAACCAGCTTATTGTTTTATCTACTTTATGTCTACCTAAAGTACCTTTGTTCTGAAATTTATAACCTAAACATTTCTGATACTTAAACTATCCACACTTTTCAAAGGGTTTGAATAGGATAGAAAAACATTTGAGGATTTATAATAGGAAAGTAAATTTGTTGTTTAGTACTTGTTTGAACAAGTAGAACAAGTGGATATTGTCAGGTTATACTGTCAGAATATTGCTGTTCCAGGTTATCTTGTCAGAATTTTGCTCTGTTCCAGGTTATATTGTCAGAATATTGCTGTTCCAGGTTCTATTGCCAGAATACTGTTCTGTTCCAGATTATATTGCCAAAATATTGCTCTGTTCCAGGTTATATTGTCAGAATATTGCTGTTCCAGGTTCTATTGCCAGAATACTGTTCTGTTCCAGATTATATTGGCAGAATACTGTTCTGTTCCAAGTTAGATTGCCAAAATACTGTTTTGTTCCAGGTTATCTTGTCAGAATATTGCTGTTCCAGGTTATATTCTCAGAAATTGTTTTCTTCCAGATTATGTTACCAAAACCTTGCTCTGTTCTAGGTTATATTGTCAGAGTCTAGTTCTCCAGTCAGTCTAGCATTAGGCTTAACACATGACGGCTTCATGACGGCATTTTGAGCTCTCGTTGTTAACTGTTTTACTGATAACTTTTTGTACATTCAAAGATAAGCTAAACAATTGTAGCCATTCGATAGCCCTGAATCTCCTCTTCAAAACTAATATAAACTTATCAAAACTTCCTGCAAAATAACTAACAAAATCTTATAATAAAAAATAAACAAAAAAAAATCGTTACTAGTAAAAGGCGTATGGTCAAAAAATCAAAAAAAATCGTCATTAGTACAAGCCGTATCATCAAAAATGTGTTAAAATCTAGCACATCAGTGGGTCAGATTATTTTAAAAATGATTTTTTCTACATAATCTACATTAAAATAGTGATTTTCATCAGAAAAAGCTCTTTTTTTGATCAGTTTTCTAGATTTTAAAATTTCTAGATCTAAAATTGACTTTATTCAAAGGCTTTCACAAATCTAACTAAGCTAAACCATTTAATAAAAGTCTAACTATGCAAATAATGAGTTTTATGAGATGTTTTTTTGATTGATCTCTTAAAAAAAGTCAAAATCGAGAACATTCTCACCTCCCATTATCCACTTGAGAGCCGAGAATCGGGAGAACAACCAACAAAACGTGTTCCTGTTAAGCTAAACGCAAAAAAAAGGTGGCAAAATGTTGCGAAAAGCATTCTCATTT